GGTGAAGTCCGTTGGAGTCCGACGGTGCGATTAAAGGAAGACTGCCACCTTCAAAAAGTTTTCTCAGATCGGCCTATGATTTATTCCCTGGACAAAACAAAATTTTAGAATTCACCTGACAAAGTATCATCACGGAAATCGCGAAAAAAAAATTGTCGATTATCATACAATTATCAATCGGTTAATGTCTAGCGACAATGTTTACACAGCACTAGACTTCAAGGTCATAAGATTATTACATTTTATTTGAAAAAGTAAGGTATTTTATGATTTACTAATATATGATTTCATAAGAAATTGGCCATGTTTAATTTATTTTGCATTTAAGTTCGTAAAACATTTAAAAATCATGGCTCATTTGGAATCAGGGTCTGGCCCATGTTAAACCCCATTTCCCACACTTTTTTGGAAAAAATGAACTACTGAATATATAAGTTTAACTTTTATTTTGACACTCCAAAATTCTTCTCTGATCTCGAAACAATCAAAGTTTTGACATATATTTACCAAAAGATAAGAAAATTCATGTTTCAAAGTTATCGATAAACAGTAGAGATGTCGGTTTTCTTGGACTAAAAAAATGGCATCAAACTGAACTTTGGTCTCCGATTTCTCGCAAACGGGTTCGAATTTCGGAAAACCGACTTCAGTCTGGGACATAGGTGGCTCAGCTCTAGTGAAAACCGTTTTGTGGAAAAAAGGTGGCAGTCTACCTCTGCTCGAGCGTCACAGCGGTGGTGGGACTGGCCCGTCGCCAGACTGTCACAGACCCCCTCTGTCCTGAGCGCCCTGACACGGAAATCTGGGGGCCGGCCGCCCGTCAGTGCACCCGTGAGACCCAGCTGGTAATAATTATTTGTCAAATGAAAAATGTGGTCCGTTAGATGCAAGCTAATTTCGTGTCATTCACTTTGCCTTCACTATTGTTTGACATTGCTTATGGAAAAGATGATTTGTCATGGACCGCGAATGTCGGACGAAGGAAAGGAATGGCCGGCGCTGACTGCATCGTCTCCGTCTGACGGACCTGTTGTTTTAGAATGAGTCACACGCTGTTCAGCACGTGTCTGTTCGTCCATGATCACGGTGACGCCCTCCATCCACTGCCCACGGACGGTTGCTGAGTGTCGCAGACGACTGATATCCGCTTCTGATTGCTGCTTTCCGCTGGCAGCGAGCGGTGTCCGTTGTTGGCGGCTGCAGACGGCTGTCGGCTGCTGGTAGATATTGACGGTTGCTGACTGGTGTCTGCCACTGACGGTCATGCTGACCGCTGACGGCTGTCCGCTACTGGCGACTGCTGACCATCACTGTCCGCTGCTGGTGATTTCTGACGGCTGATGTCCGCTGGTCTGTCCCCTGCTGAAGGCTGCTGACTGGAACACCTCTGGCGATGATGGACGGTCGCTGAGGGTTGCTGTCGGCTGCTGATGGGTGCTGGCGGCTGCTGACTGCTGTTTGACGGCTTCAGACGGCTGATGTCCACTGGTCTGTCCTCTGCTGAGGGCTGCTGACTGACGCCTCTGACGATGATGAACTGCTGTTGACGACAGCAGGGCGGGTGTTGCCGCCGCCGGTGACGACCGACGCTCCGTCACGTCGCCACCGACAATTTATCAGTGTGACGGGGACGTGCAGCCATCGACAGCGACCATTTATTGCAGGGCAATCGGGCGTGCTCGAACCGGCCTCGGCCGCGTTATTTATGTGTCCCCGGAGATATTTTCGTCAGCAGCTCCAGATGCATAACCAAGCGCCGCTGTATGTGTGGAAACTGTTGAGTTTATTGTACTTCGTACACATTTTAGTGCTTACCAAGAGGTGTTTGTCTCTTTGGAGGTAATTAACTCGTTTTTTCGCCTAGGTCTGCCTGCTAATGTGACACGTGTCTCACAGACGGCCCTGGTGACAGTACTTTCCGTTAGGTATGACGGGTGCTAACGGGTCAGGAGAAAGGATGGACATCCCACAGACACGGAACATGAATACCGAGCTGGCTAACGGAACACAAAACCGGCTCAGTCTGTGTCCGTATACATAAAAACACAGAGTGACTAATTGGAAAACCGCCGCAGTGACTGATTCAACGGCACGCGATCTCACGTAGGTACTGCCGGTAGTTGTGCTTCACCTTGGGCGTCCTTGCTAGCTTCTAAGCCTACCTGCAATGAATCAGTACGTTACGCCGGCCTGGATTTTAAGATTTGCTGAGCCTGCTTCTGACGCGGATCGCCAGAGTTAGATCCTTTTCATGGCGGTGCTAATTGTACTGCGTTAGTCTGCTACCTAAGTCATTTCGTGTACCGCTGTTAGGAGCATCTCAACATTTTACTTGCGGGCCTGTTGTTCAGTGGCAAGATTTTTTCCACGAGTTTCATTGGCCATATCGATATTTTATTTGTTCAGGCTCTTCTCACGTTCATTCATTGAACCAGCCCTCCACAGCAGCCGAACCGAAGCCAGCGCCGTGGCGAACAACTCTGAACTAACAGTTTCCTCCTTTGTCCGGCAGATGGCATGACGGGCGTGCCGTTTGTGGACGCCAACATGCGCGAGCTGCGTCTGACGGGCTGGATGAGCAACCGTGGCCGACAGAACGTGGCCAGCTTCCTGACCAAGGACCTGGAACTGGACTGGAGGCTGGGCGCCGAGTGGTTCGAGTCGCAACTGGTCAGTGATGGGGGGGGGGGGTAGTTTGAATCGCAGCTGGTCACTGACCAGTGGGATGAAGCGGGGAGTGAGGAATTGAGGATGGTAGAGGGTAGGTAGTTGAGTGGGTAGTGGTGGGGACGGCTGAATTTAGCGGTCGGGTCACTCGAGCTCATCGCTGTATTGGGTCCGTCTTATTTCCTCATTTCTCTATAAAGTTGGCAGCCAATAAATATGACCATTTGTCTTTCAGTTGGACCACGACGTGTGCAGTAACTATGGCAACTGGAACTACTCGGCGGGCATCGGGAACGACCCGCGAGAGAACAGGAAGTTCAACATGATCAAACAGGCCATGGACTACGACCCGCAGGTCTGTACCTGCGCGTCCTCGGCGTCCCATCTCGAACTGTCGACATTTTCCGCTTGACTGCAACTTATGGCTCGCTTAGGTCCTCTCTGGTTTCATTATCTGTGACTGATGACTATGCATGCTCTATGTTCTCAGGGCGACTATGTCCGTCAATGGATGTTATCATTGACTATGTTTATTCTATGCTCCCACAGCAACTACGTACGTCATGGGGTGCTGTCGGGGACTATATTTTATTCCCCCAGGGCGACTATGTCCGTCTGTGGGTGCTGCCGGTGACCATGTTTGCTCTATTTCACCCAGGGCGACTATGTCCGTCTGTGTGTACCTAAGTGACTATGTTTTATGCTCTCCAGGGCGACTACGTCCGTCAGTGGGTTCCGGAGCTGCGCTCGGTACCGGACGGCCGGGTCCACATGCCGTGGACGCTGACACCGTCTGTGCGCCGGGACATTGACTACCCTCAGCCCATGGTGCGCGCTCCCGAGTGGCAGCGGCACGCGCCCGGATCGGCGGTAGGTGACTGTAACCTCCTAGTGTCTCCATACACTGACTGGTTCGCACACTACCTTGTTTTCCAACCCTCCGACATTTACTCATACACAAGACTTTGAGACAAATAGTATATTTACCGTGTTCGATTATAAACTCCGTCGATGATCGATTCCTACCGTCTGATTGTTGTTTAGCCGGTCTCCCATCTGTCAAAGCACACCGGCGTGACTTTCGTGCCGTTCGCCCAGCTCACGGCGACTCTGTAGTCTGTCCTTGTGTTTATTGGGGCTTTCGGGCGCGCTGATAACTGATTACGACTGTCATTTTGCGCCCAATCTGATCGCACTGTGTCATCTGGGCAGTAATCGCCACGCCATGTGTGGATCGCCCATGATCGTAAATACAATACAATACAATACAATACATCTGTGGTCTTTGGTCGTACTGTCTGTGCTTGCTTGCTCGTACGGTGTGACCTTTCTGATCGTATTTTGTTCGCAGGGACCGGGCCGCGGTGGCGGCGGTGGCAGAGGCGGCCGGGGTGGCGGCGGCAGAGGTGGGGGTCACAGGGGCGGCGGTGGAGGGGGCGGTCCGGGACGCGGCCAGCGGCGCGGCATAGACTTCTACTTCAGTAGCAGCTCAGCGGGCGGCGGCGAACGGAGGTAGCGGAATGTGGGGCTGGGGGACCAGCGGTGGACGGTGGCAGCCGGGTGGAGTGGCGGACCGGGCGGAACGGATGGCGGTCTAGACATTGACGGCCGGCAGTGAAACGGCGACGACGTTCGGAAGCGGTTGTGCGTAGCGGCTAATGGCTCTCGGTGATTTTGTTACTGCGGATGCCCAGACTCTGGGTTTTTGAGTGATGTTAGATCTGCTGCTGGTTAACAGTTCTCAACTCAGGGTTCGTTACACCTCATCGTTTTTACAAAGCCTTTTATCAGTTTTACACGCCCCAGCAATTATGCTGTCATCTAGAGTCTCCGTGCACGTTTATAAGATATATTTGACCGTTCTTACAGTAGACAGCGTTGTTTTTTACATTTATAGAGCATTTTATTATGCATATCAACAACCACGTTCTTCCTGAGTTAGTCGCTGCTTGTTTTGAGGTGGTGTGTGCAATGTGCATGGACGTCCGTCCATTTTTTTCTTCTGAAAAGACAAATGAACCATCGCCCGTGAATGGTGGCACCAGAATGCCCTTTAGCGTGGTGGTTTTTGTTGTGCTAGTGTCTAAATATCGTGGCGCTCATGACGTGATGCAGCATTGAATACAACATTGACTACAGTACATTTGAACGGCTGAGGTTGTGAGACGTACCGCGGGATGTGCCGGATTAAGTTCTGTGTAGAAGCCAGGACCTTGACTATTGGACAACAACCCGCAGTCTCGGTCTCGACAATCTTCTCACCGTTCATACTGTTCGGTCCGCTCTAGGAATAGAGCTCCGCGTACGCAATGGGATGAACAAACAGAACGATGTAATATGGCAAAGACACTGTATTGTCACGTAAATACGTTATGCGGCCACCTGGCCATCCCTGTTAGTCTGAAGCTATCCAACACACAGAGACACACTGTCCGCGAATCGAGTCAGACGGATGATCACACCCTCCGACGACCTCCCCCACACACGCGTCTAAACCGAGCTCGGCAGTCGGCCGTGGTGTGACATTAGTAAATACGGCGTACACTGCTACTGGACGACGGAATGGCACCACTGCATTATTATCGCTTCACTTCACACTATTTTGTGTAAACGATTGGACAGAGCGGCCCTGCTCTTCGACATCACAAAGGTAGGCGGGAATCGTTGGAAGGTCGGCAGGTTAGTAAACAGGACGTGACCTGCCAGCGACCTCGTTTGACCTGCCCTAGCTGTAAACAGCTGAGGCTGACCTAGCCTCACGAGCCCAACTCAGAGTTGGACCAGCTTTGACTATTTCCGACCATTTGAACCATTTCGTTTGACGAACAATATGAACCTCCCGCCCGGACTTAGAGACTTTGAGTTCAGGGCTGAATATGACCCCCATGGAAGACAACTGGATGCTGATTTGTACATGGGCGTGCAATGTTTGTACTGTGAGTTGAAATGTGGTCCACGCCTCTACTGGCAAGGTGACCAAAGAGTTTGGTCCTTTCGAGCAGGTACCAGCCGGCGTCTGAAGAAGTCGGGACGGCAGGACATGAGAAGGCATTGGACGAATATTTGGGCGGCGCAAATATTGACTGGACGTGGAAGCAGTACCGCATGCTGCATAGTATACATATGAAGCGGTACAAACACTATCCATAACCAATATTGTCTCTGTGCTAAGTAATAGAACCTGTAAAACACTCGTAGTGCGACACAATTGACTGATGCTAAAACTCACACAACACCTAGAAACGGACAGCACATGGCGCCATGCATACACCTTGGTCCCTGGCTAAGACACTGGCGCACACTCACCCTTCCCAGCTGTACTACGCATTACGCATAGCATCTACTTACACCACCTCTGTACCCTTTCCGGACTATACACAATTCATACAGCTCGATTCCTAGCACATCGACCAAACTGGAATGATCTCAGACTCATCTGCGTTGGCGGGCCACTGGAAAGCCCCCTACTTGGCGACCCAGTGGGACCTATGGTCGCACTTCTTCCCCTCCTATCCTGGCGCCGCCTGATGTTGCGATACTACTGAACCTGCTGGCGGTGCAGCTGGACGATCTGCTCCACAATCGAGGGGTCCTGCAGCGTCGAGATGTCGCCCAGGTCGTCCGGCTGGTTGGCCGCGATCTTGCGCAGAATTCGCCGCATAATCTTGCCGGAGCGCGTCTTGGGCAGACCGGGCACGATCTGAGGACATGGCGAAACGGTCAAACTGGGAAGGGGTGGGAACGGCGCACAAATGCTGATGGGCTAACTAGCTTGCCCACCTTCGCCAAAGGCTGCCCCATTCGGGGGTGGTCCCTAGAGTCGCCAGCCCTCCCAATGTGATACTGTATCTTTGTCCACTTGTCGGACTTTTTTGTCTATTCATATGGTTATGCGTCAGTCTGTCCAGCTGTCTGCTTTGGCGTGCGTCAAGACCTCATATTTCTTATTGAATCTTGGTGCGCACTAAGCATAAAATAGCGCACTAACACTACATTTGTCTGCACGTGCGCCCAGACACGCAGCCTCTCACCACCCACCAGCATGTGATCGGGCACGGCGTATCCGGCGATGTTGTTCCTGATGAGCCCCTTCAGCGTGTCCTTGACCTCCTGGTCAGTCACCGTGACGTCGTTCTTCATGATGATGAACGCGTACAGACCCTCGCCCTTGAGCTCGTGCGGAAATCCGACCACAGCCGTCTCGGCCACCGGCTCGTACTCGTCCTGAGGGCGATCAGAGGGTTCGCAATAGTGAGTGTCAGACGGAGGTCAGATAGCTGTTAGTCGGCAGTACGATGACTGTCAAAGTGTTCGGGGAGGAGTTCAGTGACAGACGGAAGGTTAGACAGCGGGCACACAACAGCCCGGATAGATAGACGGGACGCTCATGGCCAAGGCTGGGAATGCACGAGACTTGTGACTCGTACAACCACCATTGATTGCATTGATTGTTATGAAAAAGAAAATATATTGCATGAGAATATATCTAACGATCCCCCTCTCCTCCCACGGTCACTGACCATAACATCCTCGACCTCGGCGGTGCCCAGCCGGTGACCGGTTACGTTGATGACGTCATCCATGCGGCCGGTGATCTGGTAATAGCCGCCGGGGTGTCTGGCAACACGGCCAGTGGCGTACTCAGCGAGGGTGGGCGGCGGACAGTGGCGCACTCAGGGAGAAAGGCACAACTGGCGACTGACTAGCCAAAAATGGGCAGGGCAGCTCGCAGACACACAAAAACTGGCCAAGTGATGGCTTTAGAGTTAACACTGGCACGCTTTGCAATGCAACAGAGCATACAGCCACGGTGGGGGAGGGGTGAGGGGTGACTAGCCAAACTACTAACAAGGCAGGCTGGGGACTACAAAAAGACATTGCGCGACATCGTGCGACGCGGGCGCGTACGATAATAATGCCCATTAACTGATGGTGCTGCGGCGAGCTCTAGACTAGCAACACACCCAAAAGAGTGCGCCATGGCGGCAAATGAGGTGGTGACTACAGCTCAGGGGATCAGGCTCAGGCAGCGCATGCCATTGTTCACAACCAGACCGGCGCGTCCCCTCGACTCATCTACCCACCTGTGTGCGCCGTCTCCGGTGAAGTAGTATCCCGGCATCGGCTTCAGGTAGGTCTCGACGTAGCGCTGGTGGGAGCCGTAGATAGTCCGCGCCATGCCTGGCCACGGCCGTTTGAGGCACAGCGCTCCCATCACGTCCTCGCCAGAGATCTCATTGTTCTGTCCACGGAGGGGAGGGGTGGGTTAATAAATGGAGAGAGTCAGAGGAAGAGCAACGGAAGGTCAGTGGATGGGAGGAAAGGGTAGGTCGGAGGAGGGAAATGGGCGGCTCAGTTGAGGGGCATGGATGTATCAGAGGAGGGGTAGGACGGGTCGGGTAGGTGAATCATAAAGAGGATCAGGAAAACTGAACAAGACCAGGGTAGACGACTGAATGGAAGTCAACAGAATCAACCAGCATGACCAGAGGGTATCAAACAAAAGGAGTAGAAATAGTGCGCGCCCTGAGTACAAGCCGTTACGGTGATGAGGCTTTGAACTGTACGGTGTCTATACGGGTGTCTTCGCCAGCCGTACCTTTTCGTCCAGTAGGACGGGCTCGATGCCGTACATGGGCCGCATCGGCATGCCGGGCCGGATCTCGGCACCCTCGGCCGACGGACGCGGAGCCAGGCACACACCGCCCGTCTCTGTAATCGTAAGGACCCGGTCAGGCTTCGGGTCAGGTCACAGGGCCCAGAGTAGAGTCAGGCACACGCCGCCGGTCTCTGTAGGTAAAGAGGTCGCGTCAGGTCAGGATACAGGTCCGGTAACAGGCTGCGGCCAAGCAGTGATTCTGGGAGCATAAGCCCACTGCTCAGTCTGGTAGGTTTTGGCTGAACGCGACATTAGAAAGCAAACAAGCCCATTCTTGCTAAGTAAGACAAAAGCGTGTTATGCCCAGGCGCACTTCAGAATACAGTCTGACTCGAAATACACACTAAACATCGGAACAGCATCTCTGAGGCTGTTTGTACCGTCACTGCAAAAGATACACAGACGCCAGTAGCATTAGCTGTCGATGGAGACAGCAACGGGTTGCAACTATCCACTCAGTCCCACATGCCATCCCGGCGACCATAGTTCCTTCTGAATCTGTAACTCACCGGTCTGCCACCATGTGTCGATGACGGAGCAGCGTTTGTCGCCGACCACATCGTTGTACCACTGCCACGCCTCGTGGTTCAGCGGCTCACCCACACAGCCCAGCACGCGCAGGGAGGAGCGATCATACCTGACGATAGAGAAGGCGTCACCGCCAGCAGGGAATCAGATTGGGGAGGGACAAGTCATCGGGCAGCGGGCGTTTATCGTGAACAGCGGGTGTTTCTGAGACTGACGGGTTTATTGAGCAGTAGCTGTGGAGCACACCAGAAAACTTCCCAATGGCGGGTGAGATGTGATGACAAAGGTGAAGCAGCTTACATACATCATACGCAGTGCCGATCCTCCATCAGAAATAAGAGTTTATACGAGGGAGGCTGCAAAGGGATAGCGAGTGGGGTCGGTGAGCTGAGATACTCACTTTGTGACCCAGCTGTCTCCGTGTTTGAGCAGCAGCCTCAGTGCCGTGGGCGCGCCGTAAAAGTGGGTCGGACGCAGCCGCTGCACCATCTCCCAGTACCGGCCTGCCGGAGAACAGATGGACACATAAAGCTATACAAATATAGATATACGGACATATATGTACAGACACACATACTGGACGCAACATCCCAGCACCGGCGTGCTGGGAACAGACAGATACAAACATATAAGACGCAGCTGTTGCAAATACCAAATACTCGTATCATCACCCAGAGGCGGTCTGAGTCTGCAGGAGACCAGACGTGACAGATACAGACACAGTACACAAATTCATCAGCCTCCGGGGTCACCACTCACCACCCCAATGGCGCCACCAATGCTGCCGCGGATGAATACGATATGCCCCGTAAGACAGGTGATAACTTGGTGCGGCACGGACTACAGAGGGTATGATATCGAACGGATGGTCACAGAGCGACACGCGATGGCCTGGCCTGGGTCTGGATAGAACAGCATCAATTCTACTGACCTGAATCCGGCTTTCTATTGAGCTGAGTGCGGCTAGGCGGGCAGGGTTTCTAATTTCTACTGACCTGAGTGTAAGTCGACTGGTCGTAATTCTAATGACCAGGACCCGGGTAGAAGGTACTCTACCGACCTGGGTCCGGGTAGACGGGCGTGCTCTCGAACATGATGGCCGTGCCGCCGGTGGCCAGCGGGCCGTACACCACGTGACTGTGACCGGTGATCCAGCCGATGTCGGCCACACAGCCGAACACGTCGCCAGGCCGCAGGTCAAACACTTGCTGTCGACAGGGGACGGGGGACGCAGGGTCAGCCACACAGTCGAATATGTCGCCGGGCCGCAGGTCAAACACTTGCTGTCGACAGGGGACGGGGGACGCAGGGTCAGCTATGTCGCCGGACCGCAGGTCAAACACTTGCTGTCGACAGGGGACGGGGGACGCAGGGTCAGCCCACAGCTAAACACGTCCCCGGACCGCAGGTCAAACACTTGCTGTCGACAGGGGACGGGGGACGCAGGGTCAGCTATGTCGCCGGACCGCAGGTCAAACACTTGCTGTCGACAGGGGACGGGGGACGCAGGGTCAGCCCACAGCTAAACACGTCCCCGGACCGCAGGTCAAACACTTGCTGTCGACAGGGGACGGGGGACGCAGGGTCAGCTATGTCGCCGGACCGCAGGTCAAACACTTGCTGTCGACAGGGGACGGGGGACGCAGGGTCAGCCCACAGCTAAACACGTCCCCGGACCGCAGGTCAAACACTTGCTGTCGACAGGGGACGGGGGACGCAGGGTCAGCTATGTCGCCGGACCGCAGGTCAAACACTTGCTGTCGACAGGGGACGGGGGACGCAGGGTCAACCCACAGCCGAACACGTCGCCGGGCCGTAGGTCAAACACTTGCTGCAGACAAGGCAGGGGACGGGGACATACTGCCAGCATACTAGTCAGCAGGGTCACCAATGACTAAGTCAGCACAAACAGCACTCAGCAGCATCACCACAAATGTCAGCATATTGTCCGCTACGGGTCCCCACAAGGATTTCGCATCAGGTCAGTGGACGGTATTATCATGTGATGCTACTTCAGCTATACTAACTGCCTTATAATTTGTTTTAATTTGTGATGACTTAACAAAGTACGACCAAAGCCCCTTGGGTGGTTATACGCCAAGAACTGGAATGCCGAACATATGAAACTCTAAGTTCGCTAGCACTATTAACACCAAGAACACCGATTTCATTTTTTTTATCCGATGGAGTTTTTATCAGTGGGTCTGCATGCGAAAGATGAACGCCACCAGACAGATATACTAGGGCCGTCACAACATCCGACAATAGTGAGCATTAATTTGTCTGTCCGTCCGCCGTCTGTCCGCTGACTGCAGTTCTGACACCGAGGGCCGCGACAGGCGAGCCCATCGTGCTCAGTGTCGCTGTAGGTGAAAGGTGAATGCGGCCAGATGTTCTAGGTGGCCAGACACCTCGTGAACTTTCTTTAGAAGTAGCATAGCATACTATCCTTTTCAAACGATGCTGACGGAAAGGTGCCAAGCGCCCAACCCTGATATTGGTCTTGAGCCCGTGAGCAGCATTTGCTAGTCAACCGTCTACTGGTCAGTGTTTGTAAGTCCATCATCTAACGGCCCGCCCTACCGGCGGTTTGAATTTGAACGGCCACACGGACTGGTTCCATGTGCGACTGTCTCGGCGGCTATACACGGACCGGGCGACGGGCTCCGGTCCAGCGGTCACTGTTTATAGGGCCAGGCGGCGCCGATCAGGGCACGGCAGGCGTGGCACGGAACTGAGGTCCGATATGCTCCGCGGTCCAAAGTGGTCCTGAAGCTCCATATGGTCCCCGGACCGATGTAGTCCCACGGCCCTAAATAGGCGGTGCTATGGTTCCTGCTGATTCCATGGTCCATATCACCACTTAGAGCTATAATATCACGGTTCAGTATCTATCGAGCCCCTATTGATTCTGACTCTGAGGCCATGGCACTATCATAGGTTCCCGCCCGTGATTTCACGAAACTCGCAGTGATAACAGTGAGCCGAACCATTCCTCTCGTTATTCAAGGTATTAAAAACTCCACCGTCTTGCCACCAATGCTGATACTTCTAATGCCGATGAAGTTTGGAGCGGTGCGCGAAACCGCTCCAAGCCCTTTAGCCCAAATAAAATCACACAGACGGCACACTGCACTTGGGCGATGGACCAGGCCGCCGGCCGGTTTAGCTGTGTAAACTATTGCATACCGGAGCTTGCACGCACCGATCAGGTGCTCGGTGTTCATTCAAACTGACAGACGGGCGGGTGGGCGTGCCACAGAGGAGCGCCGGCCAAGGCCAGTCAAGGGCACGACCGCCGCGACTCCTCCCCCCCCCCCACACACACACACATACTCGTACACGAACTGAAAGTTGCAGCCGGAGACACCGTTCGTTATTCTTCAGAGCGAGGTGGTAGCGAACAACAGGTAAATCCAAGTTAGGTGGTAACTGAGTTAAGTGACTTTGAGGGAGCAATTACCTGCAGTTTTGATCAACTCAAGCATCGGCTCCTGTCAGAAACATTCTAAGCCGAAGCTAGTGCCAAGAGCCGCATTGCCATGGACGAGTGTGTTTGATTATTGCTAAGTGGTAGGTACTGACGTCAAACTGTTCAACTTGATGTCAATGAGTGGATACTCCAGCGTCGAGTGCCTCCTCAAAGTGTGTTTGCATAGTGATAGGTTAGTAAGAGCGTCAAGAATCAGAATTGCTGGCAGTGCGACACAAATCCCAGTATCTGCCGCTATTTCGGGATAATTGAGACGAGATTGTCCTGCACTGATAATCACAAGGACCGGTCAGTTTCGGCCAGTCAGGCGAATTTGAGCCAGCACTGTTGCTGTGACAGATTGGAGCAGGCTGCCTTTCCCTTCCTCGCCCGTTTAGCCGACGCCGTGTCATGACCACTCTCCGCATCACGCGGGGGCTTTCTCATCTAGCCAACTGACCAATCTCACACACACCGAACAACACCGCTCTGAAGTCACATTCAGCTGGGCGGGACGCTGGCTGGGTCACCACGGTCTGAGTTTGAGGGTCAGCTGCCCCGTATTTGCCGCTGTTGGTGACAACTGGCAGCGGGGCTCTGATCTGGACCCGGCACCGGCCGTGGTCGGGCGTCAGAGTCGGAGTGGAGACGGCTGAGCTCTATAGAGGGCCGGTGAGTGCGGTCAGAGGTTGATTGTTGCACAACACGGTCAGGTCGGCGACCCCGCCCGCTACCACCGCGGCTAGCCGCTCGGACGGCGCGGCGCGGCGGTGGGAGCTGCTCCGTTTGGACGGGTCTGGTTCGGTTGCGGCGGCACAACGAAATAGAATGGAGGAAACAGCCATGACAAACTGAAATCGCCCTCCAGCACAGATCAGACAGACATCAGTGCTGGCAGGGGATAGAAAGAGAGCCAAGGGAAGCAAACTCCAGAGTAGAAAGAACAGAGGACTTCACGGTAGAGTGATGGAGGACGGCCCAGAGAAAATCGGATGGGAGCGGAATCCAAGATAGAGTAGCCACGCCCGGATGGGATCACCAATCAAGTTGCTAAAACTTCGCTGTTCATTCAAGAGCCACCTTATACCGCGGCATGTACCCTACCACTGCGCAGCAGCAGCCTAGTAGAGCCGTTCTCGAAATCAGCAGCTATTCACAATAAATGATAGTTTTATCTTCGAGATCACCAGAATCCTCTAGGATCCTCGGCAATCCTAGTAAGTGCACAGCGATTGTGCAAACACAGATGCAAGGTAACTCGGCACAGACAGGGACCGTCTAGACTATCGGGGCTTTGTTGTGACGCTCTTATCAAACAAATTAGGCACATTAAAACCAGGAACAAACGTAAAATTACGATCATGCACATAAAAGTTTTAACGAATCTTCAGGTTCCAGTTCAAGCATTCGATATTCAAAAGAACCAGCATCGGTAATGGGAAAAGCAGCATAATAAATCAAACCGTAATCGCACAATTCTCACTTTGCGGGATGTCCATTAAATCAACAATTTTGCAATGCTATCAGGTTCGCTCCCGTCACCGTTCAGACGGTGTTAACCCCACCGTCAACAAAGTCTGGAATTATGGCGAGGTCATACAGGTGCAGACACTGCTATCTAGGCGCCTGTCTGCTCTTCTGTATGTTTGGTTCATGTGAGACCGTATAAAGGGGTGTATGTATGTTTGCTGTCGCCTTTATCGCATGATCATTGATCACGCTGACGTGTCGCAGTCGTGGCACTCCAGTGATGGCTAGCTGTCCCAATGAGGCCTGCGCTACTCCGTTGGTGAATGGAATTATATGCATGTCTCCTCGGGCTGCGCCATTGGTGTGTGGTTGAGCGCCCGATTGACTGGAATTAGTGTCCGGCCAGGTAAGCCTGTCGGTGCTCTAGACACAGTCCTATCATCCTCACTAAGCCCGTCCTGTTGGGCCCGGCTCTCCTGGGCTGTTCGGTATCGTTCGATATATCATCCCTTGACGACACGGTGCCACAGCGACATGAGATGACGCCAGCTGACAGCAGTGATACTGACACAGCCCACTCTGACCGTGGGTCGCGGGCGGACTTGTGCCAAGGTCCCAAAAAGATCCGAGATCCAGGGTTCGCAGAGTCCAAGGTCTGGGACCTTGATGGATCCTGGACCTTGCATTGTCATTTTTGTCGCGAGACCTTGGAAACCCAGGACCTTAAAACATCCATATGCCGCGAGACCTTGGAATCCCAGGACCTTAAAACATCCATATGCCGCGAGACCTTGGAATCCCAGGACCTCAACATTTGCATATGTCGCGAGACCTTGGAATCCCAGGACCTCAACATTTGCATATGCCGTGAGACCTTGGAATCCCAGGACATCAACATTTCATGTGACATGAGACCTTAGAAACCCAGGACCTCAACATTTCATATGCCGTAAAACCATGGAAACCCAGGGGTTAGGACCTCAAAATTTTGGTATGCTGCAAGACCCTGCAGAATGCAGACCTTCAGTACCAGTTTTATTATTTGTCATGGGATCTTAGGAGAACGGTCTGGACCTACACCATCATTTTGTTAAGGGACCTCAAGAATCCTGGAAGCTGGACCATGAGGTTTATGTTGCACATGGGCCACTAAGGACCCTGCACTAGGTTTTGTCTGTAAGCACTTCAATAAATATCTATGGTTGAGCGACCAGCTGCAAGGGGCTAGATAGCTACACCGTACACGAAGAGAACGAACCAGACTGTGTAGACATATATAGAGCAAAATTGTTGCCATGGCTGTGAGGCAGAACTGGAACAAGAGACATGGTAGCTTTTTACATTATCAATGAACATGGATTATGAAACTGTCAAACAGTGGACAGTGGTGGTTTGGAAAGTTCTTTTCTAATCTCACCTCACATATTTTCTGGGTTGTGATATGCCGGGCTTGAAGCTACTTGGAAGCTACCCACTGACCAAGTAAGTGTCAAACTTATTTGTTTTGCAATTCATCAAATCACCATTGAGCAATGAGCAATATAAGCAATGATTCCATGACAGTTCAACTTTTTCGTTTAGCAGGTTTTCGTCGGACAATTTTTCGTCTGCAGATTTTCGTCCGCAGACTTTCGTCTATGCATTTGTTCGTCTGTGCATTTTTAAGTCCGCGCATTATTTTCATAAGGACATTTTCCGCCTCGTCCAGACGAAAAAAATGCCGGACAGAAAAATACTCAGACGAAAAATGCACCAAATTAATTCGAAGAGACGAAAAAATGCAAGACGAAAAAGTCAGACGAAAATCTGCCGACGAATAACCGGCTGACGAAAAAATTGTCAGATGGAATTTTGTTCAGAGCCTTCAATCTAATGTGAATGAACAAAAAGTAAGGTTTGCGCTCGCTGATACTCGAATTCTATTGGCTTAGTCGAGCAGTTTTTCTGTGAGCGCTCGCGCAAACAAGACTTAGAACATATTTTACTTTTTATCCTAGGTATTATGTAACTGAATGTGCAGAAAATCGAAAGCATATACCTATCCAATTCAACTTTTCCATTTCTATGAAGCCTGTAGGTTTTATTTCTGTTTTTTTATATTGCCTGAAAGAATACTTGAATGTTTGTCTTCAATAACTGTAAGGTGCTATCCTACATTCCTACTGATAAGGTAAGATTGAATTGAAAGGGACATGAGTATGACAATACAAATTGCAAGGTACCTAATACCTATTACCTACCCATATTTTTTATGAATTTGTCAGGTTAAAGAAGGAGAGATTGATATTATGATTCATTTTTAACTTGTGTTGAAGCTCCCCCTACCTATGTTGGTTAACGATAAAACCACCACAGTCCACAGGTTTGCATAGGTTCTGCCCCTTTCAATGTTGCTGGGCATCTGTTGGCAGAATATTTAGAAGTAAGTCTGCTCATCAGAATGTTAGTTTGTTTAAGTTCTTGTTGTGGGACCCTGAATACTTTGGATCCTGAGATGTATTCTTGCCGTGGGACCTCGAGGACTGTGGACCCTGAACTCTGAAGTGTGTACTTGTAATGGGACCTTGAGGACTGTGGATCCTGAAATTCACACTTGTCGTGGGACCCTAGGGACTGTGGATCCTGCAATGCATTCTTGTCGTGGGACCTTGGGGACTGTGGATCCTGCAATGCATTCTTGTCGTGGGACCTTGGGGACTGTGGACCCTGCAAAGTATACTTGCTATGGGACCTTGGAAACCTTGGATTCTAGAAATTGAATTTGCCGTGGGACCTTGGAAACCTTGGATTCTAGAAATTGAGTTTGCCGTGGGACCTTGGAAACCTTGATTCTAGAAATTGAATTTGCCGTGGGACCTTGGAAACCTTGGATTCTAGGAATTGAATTTGCCGTTGGACCTTGGAAACCTTGGATTCTAAAAATTGAATTTGCCGTGGGACCTTGAGGATCCTGGATCTTGATTTTTGATCCCGGCACAAGTCTGGTCGCGGGTCTCCGTCAGGTGGGGTTGCAGTGTGGCTCCACAGCCCGGCCAGCGTGGAATGACGGCACCACAGCCAAAACAAACGAGGAAAACAGCTATAGCGGCCCGGATAGAAACAACTTTCCTTGTAGATTCATACAAGAAGAGAAATATGGTCCAAATGGCACCCCACACAGCGGTCGTGGCCGAGTGGTTAAGGCGTCTGACTAGAAATCAGATTCCCTCTGGGAGCGTAGGTTCGAGTCCTACCGACCGCGCTGACCCTTTCTTGTGACCCAGCGTGACCCACGAGGTCACGGAGCTCACTCACCTTTTGCGTGAACATGCAGTAGAGCAGGTACCCGGCGACGCTGTGCACCAGGCCCTTGGGCTTGCCGGTGCTGCCGGAGGTGTACAGCATGTAGAGGAAGTCCTCAGCGTCCATGGCGGCGGGCTCACACTCGGCGGGGGCCGCCTCCATCGCCTGGGGGCACGCACAGACAGGCAGGACCGTATGAGAATTCAAATTGATAACAGTAAGGTGGCGGTTGAGCGGCATAGGTACGAAAAAGGACGATTGCAATTATAGTGCTTTTGTCTGTTGAAATCGTGTTAAATACCTACAGAAAATTAACAGAATGTTAAAACTGACCTTATGATCATATCAGAGAAGTTATTTGAAAATGGACTTTTTAACAATCATGCTCAGAAAAACGTATCATGTAAGGATACAGGAAATGTGGAGGATCTGTCATCTGTCAAACCAGTATAACGCCTTTTGGGGCGAATAACGGAGCGAGCGAGAGGGTGGGCCTTGCACGTGCGAAATTGCGAGGTGGTACCTCCAACTGACTTGTGCACGGCACCCTACTAGCCGGTCTCTAGCGACGTGCCAAATTTGGGCACAATCGGCCCAGCCGTTCTCGAGATCTGGAAGCGGCACCCTGCACGTGCGCACGTGCAAAATGGGTCCCAACTGACTTTTGCACGGCACCCTACAAACCGGTCCCTAACTGTGTACTTCTATAGAGCCTTGCTGTGTACCAAATTTGAGCGCCATCGGCCCAGCCATTCTCGAGATCTGGAATCGACCCCTGCACGTGCGCACGTGCAGCAGCACCCCAACTCTGGCACATGGATATGCATTGCCTAGTGGGTGCCTACCTACATGCCAACTTTCAGCGCAATCGGCCAAGTAGTTACCGAGATATTGCAACAATTACAAAAGTGACACCTCTTCGTTTTGCACGTGGCACGTGCATAAGGGGTCACCCACATGCATCGGGAATAGTCCAATACTTGGTAGAAGGAATGAAGCTACCCTACAAAAATTACCGCATGTAAATCGGTCAAGTGGTTGCTGAGATATAAGCGTCGCAGAATCGTGACCACGGCCGGCCGGCCGGCCGGCCGGCCGCTCATACTCAGAAATTTCCGTTAATCTAAGGAAAGACTACGCTCGCTTCGCTCGCTCCGTAACCAGTATAACGCCTTTTGGGGCGACTAACGGAGCGAGCGAGAGGGTGAGCCTTGCACGTGCGAAATTGCGAGGGGGTACCTCCAACTGAGTTGTGCACGGCACCCTACTAACCGGTCTCTAGCGATGTGCCAAATTTGAGCACAATCGGCCCAGCCGTTCTCGAGATCTGGAGGCGGCACCCTGCACGTGCGCACGTGCAAAATGGGTCCCAACTGACTTTTGCACGGCACCCTACTAACCGGTCCCTAACCATGTACCAAATTTGAGCGCCATCGGTCCAGCCGTTCTCGAGATCTGGAATCGACCCCTGCACGTGCGCACGTGCAGCAGCACCCCAACTCTGGCACATGGATATGCATTGCCTAGTGGGTGCCTACCTACATGCCAACTTTCAGCGCAATCGGCCAAGTAGTTACCGAGATATTGCAACAATTACAAAAGTGACACCTGTTCGTTTTGCATGTGGCACGTGCATAAGGGGTCACCCACATGCATCGGGAATAGTCCAATACTTGGTAGAAGGAATGAAGCTACCCTACAAAAATTACCGCATGTAAATCGGTCAAGTGGTTGCTGAGATATAAGCCTCGCAAAAGCGTGACCACGGCCGGCCGGCCGGCCGCTCATACTCAGAAATTTCCGTTAATCTAAGTAAAGACTACGCTCGCTTCGCTCGCTCCGTAACCAGTATAACGCCTTTTGGGGCGACTAACGGAGCGAGCGAGAGGGTTTGCCTTGCACGTGCGAAATTTCGAGGGGGTACCTCCAACTGACTTGTGCACGGCACCCTCCTAAGCGGTCTCTAGCGATGTGCCAAATTTGAGCACAATCGGCCCAGCCGTTCTCGAGATCTGGAAGCGGCACCCTGCACGTGCGCACGTGCAAAATGGGTCCCAACTGACTTGTGCACGGCACCCTACTAATTGGTCCCTAACCGTATACCAAATTTGAGCGCAATCGGTCCAGCCGTTCTCGAGATCTGGAAACGACCCCTGCACGTGCGCACGTGCAGCAGCACCCCAACTCTGGCACATGGATATGCATTGCCTAGTGGGTGCCAAGTGCCTACCTACATGCCAACTTTCAGCGCAATCGGCCCAATAGTTACCGAGATATTGCAACTATTACAAAAGTGACACCTCTTCGTTTTGCACGTGGCACGTGCATAAGGGGTCACCCACATGCATCGAGAATCATCCAATACTTGGTAGAAGGAATGAAGCTACCTTACAAAAATTACCGCATGTAAATCGGTCAAGTGATTGCTGAGATATAAGCGTCGCAGAATCGTGACCACGGCCGGCCGGCCGGCCGCTCATACTCAGAAATTTCCGTTATTCTACAGGGTGGGGCAGAAAGATTTACCTCTTGATTTTTGAAAATATTTCGGTCCAGAACGAAGATATTCAAATGATTTTTGGTACACGTATTCAGTAGCATGTACACATCTCAGCAACGGCACTATGAACCAATTTGACCACCTTTGGTCTTCACCCCTGCCCCGAAACCTCTCCCTGCGGAGAGGCGCGAGCGCCGCACGGTGTCTTCGTCGAAATTCGACCATGCCGTCTCGAGTGCCAGCTTCAGAGCGGCGATGCTGCTGTGTGGTGTTGCACACTTCTCCCTCTCCAGGATGGCCCAGGTGGTGAAGTCCATCGGGTTCAGGTCTGGACTTGATGGTGTCCGCATGTCCTTGTCCCAGAATCCAGGCATGTGGGTCTTGCACCACTGTTGAGTGAAGTTGGCCGTCTGAGACGACGCAACGTCCTGGACGACGACGTATCCGTCTCGGAACGACTGAGTGATCCAAGGCAGAGCATGTTACTCCAGCAGATGGACATTAACGTGTGAACTGACTTTCACACCCGCCTCGATGAAGATCAATGGTCTTTTTGAGCCGTCGGATGCGACGGCAGCTCAAACCATGACACCAGCAAGGTTGTAGCGACCAAAACTGGCCTGGATAGCAGGATCAATGCTGGATGTACCATCTGCCAAGATTCTGACGCCTTGAGAGCTCATCTGGGGCTCAACCGTGGAAATCTTTTTATCAGATCAGAGGAAGACCTTGCTACCGGCGCTTCTGATTTCCTCCAATATCTTTTGGGCCATGTGAAGCCGCTTCTCCTTCGATGCCGCCGAAATTAGGCGTCGACGTTGCATCGTGTATGACTCAAGGCCCAAATCATCGTTTATGATTCTCCTGATCGTTTTAGGCGAAAAATCGAGGTCCTTTGCCAGTTTGCGCATGTTTCGCCAAGGAGTTCGAGACACCATCTTGTGCACGATATCAACCAGCTCTTTGGCGCGGACATGTCTTGTTCTGCCTGGGATGGGCTTCCTCGACACCGTACCTGTCCCTTTAAGGCATTTAATTATACTGTTAGCAGTTTTTATGGCAGCACCGAGCTGTTTGGGAACGCTTCGGACGCTGTGGCCAGCCTGCATCGGCGCCGCAATTTGGGTTCTTTTTGCAATCTCCGCCATAGCTCATCAACAACCATGACGAAATAAAACACAATCATAAAAATTATACACGAGTCAGTTGGGAAGCCGCATGCAAAATTTCACTAAAATCCGTCCAAAACTTTTTGAGTTATGGGCTGAAAACAAACAGGTAAATCTTTCTGCCCCACCCTGTACGTAAGACTCCGCTCGCTTCGCTCGCTCCGTAATAAATGGTCTCCTCGGCCTCTCCTGATATGTCATTGATCATGAAACAGAGTGAAACTGATAACAAGAGAGACCAAATATCACCCACTTGTGTGTTTTCATTGGTCGCCACGTCCCTCTATCCGAGCTACCCGGATACTCTCTCCCTAACTGCTCGGGGCATCCCGGCGCCGTAGCTGTCTGGCAAATCAGCGGGAGGCCGTCGCCGGCCACCGTTTTTACCGTGCGCTTTATGTCTCCGCCATACCACTCTCGCCAATCGAGCCCGAACCGAACGCCCACTTCTGACGGCAAGCTAAGGTTACGAAAGACAACTGTTTTTGCGCCCGGTCGTTTTTCAAGCTCCCGCACCACATACAAGGCCTCTTAACTGACGCGGGGAACAGCTGAAAGACTTTCACCTGCAGCACTGCCCGTGGTATACCAATACTGGTGAGATGGCTACAGCTGCCACACTGCGATCTGCTTGGCATGCCAAGCATCCCATTATAATCGAACAGAGAAACTGAGCGACTGTGAGCAGTGATCACTATTCACAGCTATATGACTCATTCTCTCCAATCAACCACACCCTCCCCAGGCTGAACATACCTCTTCCATCGGTATGTCGATACCGGAGCGAGGCACCTCTGCGCCGGTCCTTGTAGCCACAAACACCCGTTTGACAGACGGGCACTCCCGCACGGCGTCATCGACAATGCGCTTCAGTTCGATCACCTTGCCGCCGCGCACTGCCTGGTCGCTGGTGATGATGGTCTCCGCGCCGGCTGGAAATGGTGACCGGGTCGGGTCAGATGTCAAAGGTTACGTGACGGGGTCAGGCGGGGACTAAGGCCAACAGGGGAAGGTAAGAGGTCACAGAGAAAAGATATTCGGAGGTCGCTGAATAAAAGTGAAAATCAAACGAAGTCACAGAAGTCAGCGACTCCATGAAAGAAGCCAGAGGTGATAGGGGGAGGTCAGAGGGCAGCAACGATTAGTCAAATAGCATACTATCATATTATCACAGACCAATGACGAAGGGAAATCGGACTTCGGAGGGTTGGGATTTGAGAAGTGGCAGGTCGACTCATGGCAACATACATGAGCTTACGGGAGGCTGGAGGCATCCGAGAAAGGTTAGAGGTGCGTAATAGCATTCCCACTTGGGTCAAGTGTCATGCCAACTGTCATCATTACGTCACAGCCCACTCGTGAATGGGAACAACTCACAAGCAACTCACAAGTTGTGGCAGCCGCAAACCGAGCACGCCCTCAGCACGAAGCGGTCGTGGCCGAGTGGTTAAGGCGTCTGACTAGAAATCAGATTCCCTCTGGGAGCGTAGGTTCGAGTCCTACCGACCGCGGCACAGTTTTGGCCAGAGTAACGAATGGAGAGGCAACCGTTGCAGTCGAGCCAGAAGTGTCGAGACTCCGTGCGCGCACAGTCGGTTACCGTACCATACGAGTGATGACTGGGGGTGACAGGCTATGATTTATGAAGGGAACGAACGGTCTTTGGATGTAACGAAGGATGATCATTGTGCGGTACTCACCATCGAGCACGCGGCTGGCGAGCGCCTGCGCGCTGAAGCCGGCAAAGACCACCGAGTGGACGGCGCCGATGCGCGCGCACGCCAGCATGGCAACGGCGGCTGCCGGCGAGGTGGGCATGTAGATGGCCACCCGGTCTCCGCGCCGCACGCCGTGCTGGAGCAGTGCGGAGGCCAGCCGGCCCACCTGGTCGTACAGCTGCCGGTAGGTGATGCGCTGCTCGGTGCCCGGCTCGTCGCGCTCCCAGATGAGCGCAGTCTGATCGGGGATGGAGCGCATGTGCCGGTCCACGCAGTTCACTGTCGCACACAGACGCAGGTGGGTTCATACTGTCTGAGTAGTACCACACTCATTCACGAATGTACATTGCGCATCACAGAGATGGCCAATGCAACATACTGGTTCAAAAGAAAGGTGCAAACGGTTCATACCTATAGATAGTTGTAGAACCTGGAGATAGTTGAAAACCCAAACTTAAATTGGCCCATGGTGATGGGCATAATACCAAGTTGATAAATATAAAATTCAGAACAAATGACAATTGATTAAACAAAATGGTAAGGGGACTCCAAACTTGTGTGAAAACTATTCTGAAAATAATAATTTTCTTAACTGTGAACAGAATTCAAGCATGCATTCAACTGGCAGAAATATGTCCAACACAGCACACCTAAAATATGCATATGTATATTACATACAAACATGGCCTGTTATGAATGTTGCTATCCCATGCAGGGCATTGTCTGTGACCATACAAAAAGGTCTGTGGTTAAAGGATATGACCCATAGCTCACATTGCAGACATTTGCAAAACAATGTAGTAAAATGCTGATGTGATGATGCAGTAGTGAGTTAGACATACTTACCAGATGCATTGAGCTTTCCACCTTCAAACCAGGAGATTTTCCCATTTGGCAGGTCACAGTTTGAGACAGTGTGAAAAGGCTCCATCCATTGGAGGTATGACTTGGCTATTTCACCCCAGAACTCTGATGGCTAGAGGAACAACCATACAGGTGACTTGAGGACTTCTGGAGCAGTGCATTCCAGGCAGTGGAAGCAGCATGGCATGGTTCAAACACACATTCCAAGCAGGCAAAACAAAGCAGCATAAAACACAGGCATGAGGCCACAGTGATCAGTATTAGTATATATTAGGTCCGAGTAGACAATTGTGACGCTGTTGATACAAATATGTAACAGCAAAAAATTTAGGTTTTAGGTTAGGTTAGGTTGTACGTTTGTAGGTTTTAGGTTTTAGGTTGGTAGGTTGGTAGGTTTGTAGGTTAGGTTTGGTTAGGTTGTAGGTTTGTAGGTTGGTAGGTTGTAGGTAAATAGGTAAGGTTAGGTCAGGTTTGATTATGTTTTTTCTGTTATTTCCAAGACATATAAGTATCATTTTTGGATTCAGGATGTCAAATAATGTAAGAATATGAAAACTATCTTTTAACAGTCACTCGGACTCAATGTATACTTTTACCCAGTGATCTCTTACAGCACACTTTAAGCAGAGCATGATATGATCAGCTCATAGCTTACATTTTCTAGGCTGAAGTCATAGATGTCTTTGTGGGTTTTGAGATGGGGATATTTCTCTGTAATCTCAGGCACAGGAGTTACAGGAGCACCCTGACTGTACTTAGAGCTTGATGAGCTCAATGCTCTGAAGCATTGCGCCAATGAATTCTGGTGTGGCTTGAAACCACAGGTCCTTGAAAATATCTTGAAATAGTTCAGCATTTTCTTGTCTTGCACTGTTTGCTGGTATTGCTAACTTTCCAAAATTCAACTGAGCACTTATATCTTCTGAAACACAAACAAAAGCACATATTGTCACAATGTCTGAAATGCATATCATGATTAGCTAATTATGCTGCCCAGTGCTAACCATCAGACCAATTAGGCCATCATGGCCATCATCTACAACCCACAACCCTACAACCTACCAACCTAAAACCCACCATCCTATATACGGCCTTGCCACCATCTACCAACCTACAATTTACCGCGCGCACCACAAACCAACACAGGCGGCGCACTCCTTTGCGTCGTTTGCGTTTTGTCACCGTGGCTTTTGTTTACATTTGTTTCATGGTGTGGCAAGATTTGGAAATAGAGGGAAGCCTTTATACCTGTCCAATTCTTGCATTTTATTAACCCGGTGTTCTGTGGTTCTTCAATGAGCTAATATTTTTTCTTTACTTAACTGTTCCAATTTTTCTTTTGATCCTTAAAATCAGTCAGAATTTTGCATTTCACTCGATATTATTTGAAAAATACAATATTTTGTCAATAAAATCTTTCCATGAGGAGATTTGGTAGCAGAATTTTCATGTTTTCTTCATCACTAGCCATAGTACTTAGAATAGAATAGAATAGAGGTTACGGATTGAGGACGGTCAACAAGGACCTGTAGGAATCCGGTCATTTACTTCTCCCTTACATCAACCATGTAGCTCTTTAGCTCATTCTGGCACCGTATGTTTGGTCAGTCCGCAGGGTATACTTCCTGTTCGCCCACAGCTTGTCGAGACGATTCTTGAATGTGTTCAAGCTCGGTGCCGCGACGACATCTGCAGGGAGGCTGTTCCAGCTGTCAACAATGCGGTGACAGAAAGAGGTCTGGCGAAGATGGGAGTTCACTCGTCTCTTCTTCAGCTTTAGATGGTGACCACGCGTTCGATCTGAGGTGTCGAGCTGCAGGAGGTCGGCTACTCTCACCCTCAGGCATCCTGTCAGGATCTGGTATGCCATTATCATGTCTCCTCTCATCCTTCTATAGTACATGGAGGGGAGGTTCAGGGCTCGAAGTCGATCCTGGTACTGAAGGTGACGCAAGGGACGAACCAGCTTAGTAGCTCTTCTCTGGACCCTCTCAATGGCATCCTGGTCCGATCTGAATGTAGGTCCCCACACCACGTTCGCGTACTCAAGGTGAGGGCGCACCAGAGTCCGATAGAGGAGAGGCAAAGATCGACTGTCTAGGGCTTTGAACGACCTCTTCACCAGACCAAGAACTCTGTTCGCACGACCCACTGCAGCTGCCACCTGTTCATGAAACTTGAGGTCTTCATCAATGACAAGTCCAAGATCCTTTTCCGTGTGCACTTGAGCTAAGGTGGATCCATTCATCTGGTAGGTAAAGCATTCGTTAGAGGATCCCAGGTGCATCAGCTTACACTTTTCTTGGTTAAAGGGAAGCTGCCATCTGTCTGCCCAGTGCCCCAAGGCATCAATGTCATGCTGGAGGAGAGTCTTGTCCTGGAGGCTGGTCACTTCCTGGTAGAGCTTGGTGTCATCTGCAAAAAGCATAGAACGGCTTCTGACGGCTTCTGGGAGGTCGTTAATGAAGACTAGAAACAACAGTGGTCCCAGTACAGAGCCCTGGGGGATGCCGCTGCCGACCCGCGTCCAGTTCGAGCAAACGCCCTCTACCATGACTCTCTGCCTCCGGTTGGTTAGGAAGGCTGATACCCAGCGGAGCAGGTCCCCTCCAATGCCATACGCCTCCAGCTTCCTTAGAAGTCTCTGGTGGGGCACGCGATCAAACGCCTTCTGAAAGTCCAGATAAACCACGTCCACGGCACCTTTCCTGTCCAGGATGGTAAGCCACTCTTCAATCACCAACAGTAACTGCAGGGCACATGATCTTCCAGGCAGGAACCCAAACTGGTCATTGGTAAGGAGGTCATTCTCGAGGAGATGGTCCAGTAGTCTATCTCGGACAAGAGATTCCAGCAGCTTACAGACAATTGAGGTGAGGCTCACTGGCCTATAGTTGCCAGGCAGACTTCTGTTTCCCTTCTTAAAAATCGGGACCACATTTCCCTCCCTCCACTTAGCTGGCAGGACTCCTGTGTCAATAGATCGCTGGAAAATCGTCTTGAAAGCAGTACAGAGAGGGATGGCCAACTCTTTCAGCATTCTCGGGTGTAGCCCATCAGGTCCTGGGGACTTGCTACAGTTCAGGGCCTCCAGTCTCCTTCGAATTTCCTCTTCTTGTACCCTGATGCTGGTCAGTGGTTCTCCATTGAACTTTGGATCAACTTCTGGGATGTCGCTGGTGTCCTCATCCGTAAACACTTTGCTGAAGAAGTTATTCAGTACCTCGGCCTTCTCTTCACTTGTGATAGCACTGGTCCCATCACCTCTTAACAGGGTCTCAACTCTTGCTTTCACTTTTGTTTTTGAGCTAACATACTTCCAGAAGACCTTTGGGTTTTGAGTCACGTGCTTCGCCAGCTGGCTTTCATAGTTTCGTCTCAGTCTTCTGGTTAGGTTTCTTAGCACATTCTTTGCTCTCTTATAATCTTGCTTATCTTGCTCAGATTTGGACCTCCTGTGCAGTTGATACAACCTGTCCTTATTTCTTTTTGCACGCAGGAGAGCACTGTTCGTGTAAGGTTGGCGCTTCTTCTTATGTACACTTCTTAAAGGAATGTGCCTTTTTTCAGCCTCATGCATCAATGCCAGAAGTTCCTCCCAGCCTGAATCAGCATCACAGAGCTGTAGTCTGCTCATAATATCTGAGTTTCGGATAGCCTGGGCCATTGCAGGAAAATCTGCATTCTTGAAGTCTTTTGCTTGAGAGTTGCCCTTTACCAGCTCAGTCTTACACCTGAGAGTAAATACAAGACAATCATGGTGACTATTTCCCAGAGGCGAGTGGTGTTTGAGATCTGCTACCATACCTTCCTCTGATGTGAAGATAAGATCTAGAGTGCTAGGTGACTTGTTGGGCATAAAATGGGTTGGTTCCTCAACATGTTGTATGAGAAAGCAGTCTTGCATAGTATGCAGGAACTTGTGGGTATAATGGCTATCAGGTGCTTCAGATTTTCCTAGCTTCCAGTTGATTTCACGATAGTTGAAGTCGCCAGTAATTACGATGCTGCTTGGGTTACTTTGGCTTACTGTTTTCATTAGCTCACAGAGGGCGTCTGTTGATGTTCGTCCATCACTGCTTGGGCTACGGTAGATGGCTCCCAGAATGAGGATTTCACCCTTTACAGGCTCAATTTGCATCCAAATGGATTCTTCAAATTGCCCAGGGAAGCTAACCTCAGATGCCCTTATATCTTCCTTGACCAACACCACAATGCCCCGCTTACCAGATGCACCTAGTCCTGGCTGGCTTGAATCAAAGTTTAAATAGGGCACATAATGATCTCCAACTGTGAAGCATCCAAGCGCAAGTGGTCTGATTTGGGCTTTAGGGATAGCCTCTGTTAAGACTATCACATCTGGCCACGCACAGTTTTCAGCCAGCAATGCTAATTCATCCAGCTTGTTTGGAAGACCATCTGCATTTGTGCATAGTATTTTCAATTGATCTACATTTTTTGATTGTGTTACTTCTTTCTTTGGCTGATCATTGTGTACAGTGTCCCGTGACAAGTTAGATACATGCCCCTTTCTTTTGGAAAATTCACATGCATCACAGACACAGACATGCTCATGCTGAATCTTCAAGCATGCATCATAAGCAGCTTTAGCACCCTCTGGACCTGGGCATGCAAAATACCTGCAGGCTAGCCTGTAGACTTCCTTTACATGCTGACCCTTTAGTCAGACTCTGCTACCTTGGTTTTGGTGGACGTTTGTTGTTTGCTGTCCCGCATCACTTATCACCACCACTTTTCCCCTTTGGATGCGAACAACCTTACCCTCTTCTCTTAGTCTCTTTGCCTCGAGGCGTAACTTTCTGTCCTTTTCCCTTTCTTCTGGAGTGCGATCTGGTGACAAGTACACAGTTCCATATGCATGATGACCCCTGAGTTGAGGTGCCTGCTTGAGTATATCCCATTTCTTTTCTTCATCTTCCAGCGTCACGATCAACGGACGTGGCCTCTCAGGCTGGATCTTACCTGCCCTGAAGGCCTTGACAATGTTCACTTTGATGTGCAGCTCCTCTTCGATGATATTCTTTGCTTTCCTGACATCCTCCTGTGCTCGTTCCTTGGAGTTTTGGTTAGAACTCTCAGGAAGATTGTGTATCACAATGTTGTTTCTTCTCTTCTCTTTGTCAAAGAAGCTGCCAACTGTTTTTGCCAAACTTGCCTCCGGGTTATCCTCAGCAGGTCTCGGTGTACCAGACAACTCTTCTAGTTTCTTTTCCAGTGTCTTCACAGCTTCTGCATACGTCCTCCTTTGTTCTAGCTCTGTTGCTTTTGTGGCTTCTGCTTTTTCTTCCTGCACTGTGACTTTCACTTCAATCCGCTGCACAGTTTCTTCAATTAATTTGGCCTGCTCGGAGCTTGCTGTGTGGCATGCCTGTATCAGATTTTCATGCTCTTCCAGTTGTCGCTTGAAATCGGTGTACGCTGCCTCTTGGACTTTGCATAAGTCTCTGCTGCTTGAAGCAACCCCTGCCACAGACTCACCCTGACCCAACAGCACACTCCTGAAATCATCCAGTGCCCTAGTTACACAGTCCGTCATTTTGGACTGGTTAAGCAGATTAGGCAGTATTTGTTGGCAAAAAGAGCAGACCCAGAAGAACCCGAACCTACGGATCACCTCAAACTCTTCTACGGACTTTAACTGACAGCTTGTATGGTACCATGTCTCACATACATCACAACAGATGCAGGTGTCCTCCTTGATATCCTTTCCACACTTACTGTTCTGGCCAAGGCCATCTATAGAAGGTACAGTCACTCCCCCGCCGACCAATCAGAGACAGATCCTGAGTGACGTCATCCCTGATGCTCGCAAGGGGTACTCCATTCCTTTGCAACGTAAAAATGACTAATTTCATTTGAAGATTATTGATGGCAATCTCCACATACCGCTCAACCGTTGATGTCAATAGAAAGCCCAACTAATTTTCTAGCGACAAAAAAGAGCAGCAATATGCTAAGAAATGGCCGGTTTTGAAGATATAGACGATTTAAGAACCCTCTGCAGCAGCAGGAAAGCAACGTAAAAATGCATCGAGCTTATATTTTTACTATGAATAAATCATTTTTCAGTAATTTTTTAAATATGTTACAGATTTAAGTTACAACTTTATTACAATATTTTCATTATTTGAAACTTAATTTAAAAAAAAATATTTTCAAAAACACTAGCTGTTGGCAAGTAGCTTGGCAGCGATTGTGGCGCACCACGCCATTAATTGTCCTGAGACCCCCTTATGATGTCATCAAAAGTGGAGTGACATGGGCCTGGTTCTGGCCACCCCTGCACAAAAAGGGTCCCTCAGAGTTTGCATCCAAGGCCATCTATAGAAGGTACAGTCACTCCCCCGCCGACCAATCAGAGACAGATCCTGAGTGACGTCATCCCTGATGCTCGCAAGGGGTACTCCATTCCTTTGCAACGTAAAAATGACTAACTTCATTTGAAGATTATTGATGGCACTCTGCACATACCGCTCAGCCGTTGATGTCAATTAAAAGCCCAACTAATTTTGCAGCGACAAAAAAGAGCAGCAATATGCTAAGAAATGGCCGGTTTTGAAGATATAGACGATTTAAAAACCCTCTGCAACAGCAGGAAAGCAACGTAAAAACGCATCGAGCTTATATTTTTACTATGGATAAATCATTTTTCAGTAAGTTTTTAGATATGGTATAGATTTAAGGTACAACTTTATTACAATATTTTCATTACTTGAAACTTTATTTCAAAATAATATTTTCAAAAATGGCAGCTGTTGGCCAGTAGCTTGGGAGCGATTGTGGCGCACCGCGCCATTAATTGTGTTGGCTGTCAGACCTAGGCCTCCGATCGGTGCTGACAACTGGCGACGGATTTGCGAATCTAGATGTACCGCAGCTGAGACAGATGGCGCTGTGTGTTCGGTTGGCCATGGGCAGCTCGTTCGAGGCGAGTCTATGCGGCCCTGTGGCCTGTGATTGGTCGCCGGTTAGGAGTGGGAGAATCGGAAACAGCTGTGACGGAATGGTGGTTGGCAATATGGCGACGATCGGAACGGCCATGCTTATATCTGTATTTTCGGATACAATAAACAAGTTTTGAGTGAGAATCACGTCTTGAGTGAACCCACGAGAACGGGCAATAGTGGTGGCAGCGGTGCTCAAGATGGGAGAGTGATTCTCGTGGTACGGACGGACTTTTACTGGAAACCGTGATTGCCGCAAGTCAACACGTGGCACAGATTGATATACGCAAGATGGCAGAGAAGGACATTTCACTCGATAAGTTTACTGGCGTGACAGCCAAGGATTGGATAGAGTGGCTCGAGGATTACGTATGTTACGCGGAAGGGAGAAAATGGAACCGGGAGAAGCAGGCGTCAAATCTCCGATTTTTTGTGACAGGCGACGTACGGGACTGCGTAAGAGACACTGGAGCCACAGACCTTAATGAGGTCGACACAGCAGTCCAGGCCCTGTTGGGTGGAAAACCGACCTCTCTAACGGCCAGTCAAGAAATTGATGCAATTACCTATAAGGGTAGCGTACTCGTCATGGTCCAACAGATGCGGAGATGGGCGAAATATATTACCAAACAGGAAGAAGTAGATCAGATGGTAATGCTACATCTTCAAAGGCAACTACCTGTGGCGTACGCAGAAGAAGTGATCAAGCGGGACTGTCAAAACCTGAAAGAGGCAGTCAAGGTCGTACAAGGACTCGAGCGGGCACATCAAATCCGAGTGATGCGTCCTCAACAGCCTGAGCAGGTTGTGAGTCGTGTGGTGGAAGGTCAGAGAGCAGATGGGCATCCTGAGAGATCAGCGGGCCATCAGCAGCAGCATGGCTCTCGTGGCGGCTTTGGTCGCCCACCACCTCGTGGTCAGCGAGGAGGACAGCGAGGACCGTTCGCAGGGAGGTGGCAGCAGCGTCAACCCCCACTGGGGACATCTGCTGGTCAGTTCCAGAGGCAGCCACGAGGTAGGAGAGGGGCCCAGTGTTTCACATGCGGAGGTGAGGGGCACTTTCGAAGATCCTGTGTGTTTAAGAATGACAGGTGTGGAACGTGTGGCAGAGTGGGTCACCTGAGTCCCATGTGCAATGAAAAAAACGAGACACGACCCGCTACACAGAGCCTCCAGTAGTGGGTCATGGGTGTGAAGAGGACTCTAAGGAGCCTGAACCAGGGGGGAGGTACCTGAAAGTAAAAGTAGGTGATAATGTAGTCGGTGCTCTTATCGATACAGGGGCTGATGAAACATTAGTTAAGTTGGATTGCCTGCCCCAGGGTACACCTACGTATCCCCTGGACAGTAAAGTTAAGTTAGCGGATGGAAGTGATGCAGATATTGTAGGTTGTGCTGTGCTAGATATAGAGATTGCCAAGTGTGTCCAAAAAGTAACTGTACTTGTGTCACGTAAGTTGTCTGAAGATTGTTTGATTGGAGCTAGGCTTCTCACCCAGCTGGGGGCAAAGATCGACATGAGCACAGGTTTGCTTCATGTCAGAACGGTGACTGTCCCACTGCAGTGTTCACCCATGAGAGATCAGTACCATGTGTCTCGTGTGGTGGTGACTGACACAGTTGTGGTGAAGGCTCGGACTGAGATGTTGTTTAGTGGTGAGGTACGTGAGCGACGTTTGCAGGGTCAGACGTGTTTGTTGGAGCCAGAGCGTTCTGCTGAAGACAAGTTAGGCGTTTGTGTGGCTCGGTTAGCTGTTAAGGTTGATGATTACTGTGTTCCCATTCGTGTGTCTAATGTGTCAGCTGATGATGTGAAAGTGTATAAGGGGACACATATTGCCAATGTTCAGGTAGTAGGAGATGAGGCTGTGCAAGGGGTGGGTCATCCAAACCCCTCAGACCTGTCTGACTTTGACAAGGACCTGGACAGGGTAACTGAACATCTGACCATGCAGGACAGGAATGACTTCAAACAGATCCTGACTGAGTACAAGGAGGTGTTTACAGGATTGGGTAGGACGAGCATTGCTGAGCATTGCATACCGACTGGTGACCACAGACCTATTTTTCAGAACTACAGACCTGTGCCGGGTCACATGAAGGGGAAGGTGGCTGAGCAGCTGAGTCGGTTGGTTGACAGTGGAGTTGTTCGGCCTGTACCTGAGTCGGAGTGGGCGAGTCCTCTCGTCGTCGTCTCCAAGCCGCACAGTAAGGACGTTCGTATCTGTGGTGATTACAGGCGTCTGAATCGCATCACTACTCCTTGTGTGCAAGTCATTCCACATATTGAGTCGTGTTTGCGGAAACTTTCGGGAGCTAAACTGTTCACATCGCTTGATTTGGCGCAGGCCTATCATCAGATGCCGCTTCATGTAGCTGATCGTGCTAAAACAACAGTCACAACAGAGTTCGGTTTATTTGAATATCAGTCTTGCCCTTATGGACTTCAGGGATTGCCTCACAGTTTCAATCGTGCTGTGGCACTGGCATTATCTGGTGTTAGTGTGGATGTTTATGTTCAGTATTTCGATGATATCCTCGTTTTGGCCGAGGACATGAGTGAGATGAAATCGAACCTTCGTGCTATATTCCAGTGTTTACAGGACGCTGGCTTTACTCTTTCGCTCCGGAAGATTCGTCTGTGTCAGAGGGAGGTGAAGTTCCTTGGATTTCTGGTCAGTTCTGAGGGAGTCGCGTGTGATCCCGAGAAGACGCGTCTCATCCGAGATTGGCCACAACCAACTACAGTCAAGCAGGTCAGATCATTTCTGGGGCTAGCTTCATATGTTCGTAAGTTTATTCCCAGATTTGCTGAGTTGGCTAAGCCGCTGACCAGATTGACCGAGAAGGGTGTGCCGTTTGTATGGACGTCACAGACAGCTGAGGCCTTTCAGGGTTTGAAAGCTGCTTTAGCGTCGCCACCTGTGCTAGCGCATCCGTCGTTTGAGAAGGGCGCTCCGTCGTTTATATTAGATACAGATGCCAGTGGTGTAGCGATCGGGGCTTGTCTAACGCAGAACGATCGGGTGATCGCGTATGCTAGTCGTCCGCTGACGAAGGCAGAGCGGCAGTATGCAGTCACAAAGCGTGAATTGCTAGCTGTAGTCTGGGCAGTGCAGCATTTCCACCAGTTCTTGGTGGGAGCTAGGTTCGTTTTGAGGACAGATCACGCAGCACTTCAGTGGTTGTTTAATTTCAAAAACCCAGAGGGCCAGATCGCCAGATGGCTGCTGATACTTTCAGAGCTGGATTTTGTGACGAGACATAGGAAGGGAGTTTTGCACAAAAATGGGGACGCTTTGTCTCGATATCCGCATCCAGAGGAGTCGGATTGTTCAGATGGTGTGACGTATCGATGGATTCGGGTCCCAGTGACGTCACAGGATGCAGATGTGGGAGGATCTGGACCAGTGACTGATGAGTTCCATGGGACACCGGTGTTGCGTGCTGTGACATCGGAGACCGAGCAGAATGTGAATGAAAGTAGCATTCAGGGCATGACCATTCAGCAGCTTTCACAGGAGCAGGACAGAGATGCTGGAATTCTGGAGCTCAAGGCGTGGAAACGCAAACGCGTTCGTCCGCGCGAGAAGCACCTGAGATCAGAGGGCGCCATACGGTTACTGAGAGAGTGGCGGCGGCTCGTGGTGCGTGGTGAGGAACATCCTGTTTTGTACAGACGGACGCAGACAGTAAGGGGAGCACCTACTTGTTTGCAGATGGTTGTTCCACAGCACCTTCGTCGTGAGATCCTGGAAGTGGAGGCACTTCACTGTGGCTATGGTGGAGGACACCAAGGTGCAGACCGGTTAGAGAAGCTGGTTCGACAGCGATTCTTCTGGCCGGGCATTCAGTCCGAGGTGAGGGGGTTTTGTCAACAGTGTGAGGTGTGTGAGAAAAGGAGAGACGCACCCAGAGGGTCAGAGGCTCCCATGGGGTCATTGCAGTCCGAAGGATTCATGGATCGGTTGGACATTGATTTGGTTGGACCTCTGCCAGCGAGTGAACCTGACGGATATAAGTACGTACTGACGTGCATTGATTCCTTTACCAGGTTCTCATGGGCATTTCCGTTGCCAAATCAGGAGGCACGTACCATTGCTCAGGCGCTGATGGAAAACGTGATTTCTGTTTTCGGTATTCCTCGTGCTATTCACAGCGACCAAGGTCGTAACCTGACGGGTAAAGTGATGACCGAGCTGTACAGTCTGCTGGGTATTCACAGCAGTACGACCAGTGGGTATCATCCCGAGGGCAACAGCTATTCGGAACGCAGTCATCGTGTTCTGATGGCAGCTGTCGCCAAGATGTGTGCTGACCATCCAAAGGCGTGGCCTACTTGTTTGGGCCCTGCTGTGTTGTCAATGAACGCCAATGTACATGACTCCATAGGGATGTCGCCCTATGAAGCTGTGTTCGGACGCCAGGTAAAGCTGCCTGTGGACCGGATGTTTGGAGAGGGAGCCCAGGTCGCGCCGGATCAGTCAAGTGAACCGGACATTCTGGCATACGTGAAAAGGCTCCAGGAGACTATTGACAGTACTGATCAGTTGATTCGTGATGCTAGCGTTTCAGCTCATGAGAAGAGTAAGGTTCTTCATGATTCTCGTTTAGTTGAATCGGTATTCGAGGTTGATGACAGAGTATGGCTTCGTAAACAGGTCTTCAAGAGAGGAGAGACGCCGAAACTTTCTTGGAGGTGGGAAGGTCCGTACAGAGTTCTCGAGAAAAGAAGGGGCTGGACGTATAGGATTGGCAAGGAAGGAGCGGGTGGTGCTTCGAAAGTTGTCCACCACAATCGTTTGAAGTTGTGTGTGTCTACCCCGACCGTCCCACAGAGGCACTCGGCGAGAGGTGATGAGTCTCGGCACGCGGCGCGAGATGATAAGTCTGTGAGACCAGTGGAGGCTCGCCGACGTGACAGGGCGCGCCCAGATCCGATACCAGCAGATGCAGGCCGCGAGTATCAACGTAACCGTGTTTTGAACCGTCCTCGGGAAACCGACCTGACCCTTCCTGTGACACGGCACGCTGATGTTCGGGTAACTGACAGACAGACTGATGAATTCACAGGAGACGGGACATCAGATGTGCAGACAGACGGTGACACGGCGTCGACAGACCATGTTGTTGTTGACCCGACTGACGCCCTCCCAGTGCAAAATGACAGTGCTGACACGAGTGGGGTGACGGATGCTAACCCACCCTTACGGCGCTCAGGCAGAGATAGACGTATGCCTCGTCATCTGGCTGATTACGTGCTGGATTAGATTTAAGATTTCAGTGTGTGCTACATGCATAAGATTTGTTTTCGTTTCATAATAGATGTAGGAGAATGATGTCAGAGCTGACAGCAGAGCTTATCTGGATCACAGTATCTCAGTCGATCTCCAGGAATGGTTAAGGCAATGGTATTTACTGGCTGTGATATGTGCTAATTCATAAGTGCACATGTGAGTGAGCCCATATTAGATCCGAGTAGCAGAGCGGTGCATTGAAAACAGCAGTCTATGACTCACTGTTTCCCTCAGGTTGATTGTTGAGTCGGTCAGATACAGGTGTAAAGTAATAACATGCAGGGACATCGTGTGATTTTTTTTTTCTACGCTACGTTATGTTGTCTGACAGTTTTGTTGACGGGTCGTCAACTTATGTGGCCGGGGGTATTGTTGGCTGTCAGACCTAGGCCTCCGATCGGTGCTGACAACTGGCGACGGATTTGCGAATCTAGATGTACCGCAGCTGAGACAGATGGCGCTGTGTGTTCGGTTGGCCATGGGCAGCTCGTTCGAGGCGAGTCTATGCGGCCCTGTGGCCTGTGATTGGTCGCCGGTTAGGAGTGGGAGAATCGGAAACAGCTGTGACGGAATGGTGGTTGGCAATATGGCGACGATCGGAACGGCCATGCTTATATCTGTATTTTCGGATACAATAAACAAGTTTTGAGTGAGAATCACGTCTTGAGTGAACCCACGAGAACGGGCAATAATTGTCCTGTGGCCCCCTTATGATGTCATCAAAAGTGGAGTGACATGGGCCTGTTTGCATCCTCACTACCCTTTGCTGCCTGGTCCTCGAATGTCACCTTCTTAGACATACGTGGCGCATCTCCTGGGGGCCCTATTTTGGATTTCACTGGCTGCTTGGACCTGCCCCTCGGTTCAGACATGCTTTTTGCCACATGCAACAAGCCCAATCAATTTGCCATGCAATATACCTCACTATCTTGCAAAAATGTTTCGATCTTTCAACCACACTTGGGAGAATCAACCGGTGGGTCTGGTCAGGATGGCGCCAGGAGGGGATTTTTCTACTAGTACTTTTGAGCAACTTCTGAGTACTTTCTTTTGGGACTGTTATACAAATGTTCTTTTTTGCATCATGTTTTGTTGCACTTTTGCACAATAAATCATAGATTGATTATTTACTATCGCTTCGCTTATATGTTTTGGGGCATGACTAAAGTTTGCGTATCACACGAAGTGTTTTGTATGGTCAAGTACCAAACAGCTTCTACAAACACGACGCAAGTGTTTCAAAATATTGACATTCTTCATATGCCATGTGCCGCGGATGAATTGAATGAATTTAAAATACGCAAGGCCCTCGAATTACGTGTGAAATTCCTACTGAAATTTGTGATTTAGTGAGAAGGCATCATAATGCGGTAATAAAGTTTATCATGGATGAACTCGATTCCAGTAGATCTCGCCTCACTGACCCAGAGATCATCTCAGAGTTTGTGCTTCGGCTGAAACAGCAAGTTTTAGGGGATCATAACGTGAAAGCTGAAAGCCTTGGCCATTCTCGCCAGGGAAGCACTCTTCAGGGACAGTCTTCTTTCCCATTAGAGCTGCATCAAATCAGCTCTCCTGGCATCGGTCCGACTGATGGACAGGCATCTGACCAACAGGTTTCTCCACAGCTAGCTTGTTACAATGAAGCTGCAGCAGACCACTTGGAAGCACTCCAACAGCCTGAGCCACAGGTTCTCAACCCAGAGGTCCAGAGCATTGCTAACCATGAACATCCACAATCACCAAGCAGCAGTGGTGGATCCATTGACCTGTGTGCAGAGATCATGGCAGGGCATGCCCTGAAGGCTGCTTGCAGGGAACCATTGACTGCTTCTCGGACCGAGGGTGAGTTACGTCAAGCTCCACATCTCCATACCTTCTTGATAAATGCAAGAAGCAACATGCGCACTCGACTGCCAGGGAAAGTGGCTACATCCCCAGAAGCAGCTGAGACACATCCTTCATACCAGGAGAAGCTGCAGTTGCGAGCTGTTGAGAGGAAAGCACGCCAGCAGGAGGTCCGCCGTCGCCGACAGGAGCGTGAGGCGGCCAATAGGGAGGCCGAACGACTACGGCATGAGGAGTTTCAGCGTCAACTCACCCTTGAGGTTAGTGCAAGAGGGTAATTCAAATTGTGTACCTCGTTGGTGCGTTGTATCCCAGTAAGATTGTCAACAGTATATTTTCATTTGAAGGCAAAGTTTCATTCATTGTGTTCAGTAATTGTGCTTGTTGTACATGCTCACCACCTGGTCCGATGTGCGCGGCGGCAGCGGCAGCAGCAGCAGGAGCAGCTGCGTCAGCGGCGGCTACGCCAGGAGGAGCAGCGGCGCCGCCAGCTGCGCGGCCAGCAGCTGCTCCAGCAGCAGCACCAGATAGCCGACGAGTTCCGGCGACACGCGCTGGTCCGACGCGTGTTCCGCGCCCTGGTCCGATACGCACAGGTAGGCATCCAGTAACAGATATCTGGGGTCGATCTGAGGTAGGATTTTCTTTTCCGTTCTTTTGCGAAGGTACTTAACATCATATCACTATATAGCGACCAAGATACTAAAGTCATGGCTTTATTTATTTGCTGATCACCATGCAATGATATGCTGTGTCTGCACAATGCTTACGACCGTTTTATTCGCTACTTGAGCTACATGAACATTACACATTCGGAGTGAACTTCTGCGCGGCTGGCTACCGTCTCGAACTCTGACGGATTCATGGTCGCGCGTTCGGCAGCGGTGCCGCGATCTGGAGGCGTCTGCCGAGCGGTGGGCGCGCTCCACTCTGCTGAGCCGCTGTCTGCACCGCTGGCGCCACCACCGCGCCCTGCTGGCTGCTGAGCGCGAGGAGGCGGCCCGGGACTGGTACCGCACCCGGCTCACCGCCTGGGCACTCGGACGCTGGCGAAAGGTGAGGCTTTGGGAACGGGGACAGTCATGGGAGCTAGGATAATGGAAAAGGATGAGACTGAGCGTCAGGACAATGAAGAATGGCGAGACTTGGCGTTAGGCTAGCGGAAATGGGAGTTTATGGCCGGTTTAATGTTCATGACGATGACGGGCCTGAACTGAAAGCATCCGCATTTGTAATGCGTATGTACTATGTATCATACATTTCCCTCCCGCCCACTTCTGTTTTCAGTACGTGCACCAGCAGCATCTGAAGGCGCAGGCGGCCTCCGACCTGTGTCAGCTGCAGCGCCTACAGGCGGCTCTCCGCACGTGGCAGGCCAGCCTGGCGCTGGGACGCGTCCGGCGCCGGCAGCAGATGCAGCGGGCCGCCCTCTGTGACGCCAGGTGAGGCTCCTGACGTGAGGCGAGGACAGTCCTCCATGCGGTGAGTTTATCGCCGTCCTAGTCTGTGACGCGAATGTCGCACGCAAACTGGCCAACAGCTGTCACCGGCTGTAATGATACGCATGTCGTCTCACTGTACTATAGCTACCGCCCTGATTCGACCGTGAGCTTGTACAAACTGTCCTATGTTCACTCCAACCAAACCATCCCCGTCCAACCAAGCGTGAACTACCCCAGTGCACAGCCTTACTTGCCCCGTGTTATCTCCACCCCAGTTTGATACATTCCTCCTATCCAACCCACTCAGTCTAATCTACACCCCTCCCTCCCCCCCCCCAGACTGACGTGTGCCGGCGTGCTGCGCCGCTGGAGGCGACTGCCGGAAGCCCTGGAGCAGGAGCGTGCCATCGAGGCCCGCAAGGAGCGGCTGCGCAGGATTGTGCGCGAGATGGTGCCCGACTTCCAGCCACCGCCGCCTACAGGAGTGGAGCAGTCTGTCTGAGACTGGAGTGTGGTGGAACAGTCCGGCTGAGACCGGGCTGTCGCACAGCAGTTCGTTAGTGTAACTGAGCTGTGCAGAAATAGTTGTCCGTCCTTTGGACGGGCTACCGACTGTTGCGCAGCAGTCCGTCTGAGCCTGAGTCACTTGAATCCCAGCCCTTCCGTGACTTAGGCAGGAATTTTCCGTCCAAGTTAAGATTGGTGGGGGAGTTCGTTTCAAGCCGACTTATGGACTTATGGTTTGAGTAAGAGCTGGCGATGATCTCGTTTTGTGTCGTCCCAGAGGTAGTTCCGGTAGGTGTAGCGATAAGACGTCACGCTTTCTAGTCAACGCTTATCAACAATGATGTGCTTCCTTTCATCGAGATTTCGACACCGATCAAGCATTACCGTCCATCACGCATTTCATGTTCAATTTTGTATCGCGTGAGCGCGAGGGAGATTCCTAGTCAGGGCTGTTCACATAAATACGCTTCCTGTTCTGCTACGAGCTTCCACAGTCACTAGTCACATGCTGTTCCTTACATGTTTCATGTTCTCATTTTGTATCGTGCATTTCCGTCCAACGACTCGTTCATCATGCACATCGTCGATTTCTACAGAGTTCTCTGTAATTTATCATTGAAAGTGCGGTTAATACACAACCACGTTTGTCAATTCAATATGTGTTTCCTTCTGTGCTATGGAGACGGACGGTTCTCGTCAAAGGCAGGATCATCACTCTTGCCTTTGATCATCACTCATGTTAACCAATAACCATGTTATTTTATCCCCATGACTTTAACCCCGCGGGAGACACCCGTACAGGGCAGTCAGGGGCAGACACCACACACACTGGATCGGTCAGTGATATATATTATCAGACTAGACTGGGTAGCGTGATAGGCGCCGCGAACACCGGGTATGGGGCAAGGAAGGGCGCCAGTCCTCGACAACAGCGGAACCCCACGACCTAGGCAGTTAGCCATACTGTCTCCAGGAATAAGAACTAGCTTCTGCCTTCACGACAATCGCAGACGCCGCGCAATGCACGTCCGGTCGGCCAATGAATTCGACCGAGAGAATGGCGGGGTGGGGGGGGGGGCACAGCGGCCAGTGTATGATAGGGGAGGCGACGGGGATGACGCACGCTGGGCAGAAATAGCTGCCCGACTGACTGTTGCCGCCGTGGGCAGGCCGGCACAAACGTACAGGCGCCGCTCCTTCCAGCAGGGGGCGGCTCAGAACTGAGAGGACGGAACACAGCGGGGCGCGGCTACAACACAGGCAGGGACGGTTGCAGGTGCGGGGAGCCGCCGGCAGACATCACACTACCGCCGCCGGCCGGCCGGGTGAGAGACTACGATAAATACTTATACGACCTCACGGCAACCGTGAACACATCAAATATCCTAGCGCAAGACGCGTGTAAATATATCACCACTAAGGAATTATTGCGGCGCGCTCCACAAAGACGCCCCGCGGAATTGCAACATCATTTAAAGCGATACAATTAAAAGCCAGCTGTCTATCGACCGTTCCGCGCCGCCGTCCCGTCTCGGCGTACGGTACGGTACAATCCACGCCTGCTGCGGCAGCCGCCGGGCCGTCGACCGCAGGAGCCCCAGCCGAGAGATCAGCGCGCGCGGCCCCGACCCGCCTCGGCCGTCACCCCGAGAGGAGAGAAGGCACACATCCTCGGAGAACGACACTTACCCAACGGCGCACCACCGAACACCGCCGCACCGACGATAGCGGCGACTCCGCGCTCCAAAACAGACGCGCGCCCACCGGGCCGGCCAAATCATACAACAAACACGGCTACCTACATTAAAAATAAACATCTGTGTAGAATCACAGGGCGGGTGGGTTCCCCGATAGCCCCACCTGCCGCCGCCCGTCGCGCGGCGCGTCCTGCTCAGATCTTGCAGGCGCAGTCTGGTCCGGCCGAGGTGCGCGCCGAGCCGCGGTTGAGGCGGCGCAGCGCGTGGTCGCCGTACTGGATACCGGAGCCTATCCTCTCCGGGTCCAGCTCGCCTGCCAGCGGAGAGCACGGAAAAGGGCGCATGTTTACCGGAACGGACGCCGGGCATCGCTACCGAACACCTCTAAGGCGTAACTGTAGTCACGAGTAATGACGACCGAAGAACCGGTCCGGCATTGATTTCAATTCACACAAAATGAAAAAAACGTAAAAATAACAGCTCACATCCCCATCGCCATAGGCCACACAGAACAGCGACAATCTGTCAAACTCCTCAAGCTCGTTGCTGCCAACTGCGTTCTCATTTACACCATACCCTGCAATACATGAATAGATCGAACCCCGAGAACCCTCAGCTTTCTCCCCCGACACACAGCCACTCACCGGTCTCAATCTTGGCCAGGATGGTGTTGGAGCACTTGAGGAACGCCTCCTCGATGTGTTCTCCGGTCATCGCGCTCGTCTCCAGGAACATGAGCTCGTTCTCCTGCGCGAACCGGCTGGCCTCGAGGAAGGTCACCTCCCGCTCGGCGTCCAGGTCCTTCTTGTTGCCCACCTGCGATCCAACGGGCGTGCGAGTCAGTCGGGTGCGGGTACGTCAGAGAGTGCAGCTTACAGGCAAAGTAGACTGGACATATGAATTTACGGATTTGTGTCCAGAATGGCAGGAGGGTATAAATTGGCTAGACAGTAGTTCGTGAGAGAAGCAAGAAGACTCAAGTCCTTAAAGCGTCAGAATGAAGAAACCGTTTACCTCCATCCACATCATCCGGTTTGCACCATCAGTGTAAGTACCGCTCCCTAGCTCCTATCCAGGTGACCAATTATAGGATACAGCCTAGCACGGTCCCCTTTGTGTGGCCAACAGCGGGACGGGGGACGCGGCCCGTACCATCAGTATGACGATGTTGGGCGACGCCAGCGAGCGGGCGTCAGTCAGCCAGGCCGACAGAGCGTTGAAGCTCTCACGACTGGTGATGTCGTAGACGAGCAGGGCGCCGGCCGCGCCGCGGTAGTAGCTGCGAGTCACCGACCTGGTAGGGTCAACACACAGCGGTTAGTCGAGGCACCAGGCATTAGCCTCAGGCAGGTTACCAGGACAAAATAACTCCGAGTTGATGCTTGCCATCCTATGAATTATTCATAATTCATGAAGATATCCTTGGCCCTTTGGCCTTTCCCTAACGGCAACCGATCAATGATAATCAATTATGTAAATGTGATGCCATTATTACCGATTCCAGACCAAAGGTATGCGACGATACCGCTGATATCGCGCTTAGACCGGAGTTTGACCGAAATTTCAGACTCGATGCTCAGCTGTGGGTAGTTATTAGTTAACAGGCCGATGGGCGCCAGAGGAATGTAAAAAGGGTCACAGAGAGGGACGGCATTACTCGGCGGGCGCCATCTGGAACGCCGGCTCTGCAGCTGTAGGCTGTGTTTCACCTTCCCAGGGAACAAATTCGACCAGCCCCCGGTCAGTGTAACGCCGCCAGACATCCTCCCTTTCGGCAGCGAGCCGCAAGGACGATAAAACTTGGAGAGGTACTGACTTGGGCCTTACCATAGGGTGGACACTGGAAGAGTGTCAAGAGAGAACTATCAGCGGGGAGTGGGGACTGAACCGAGCTACCACCAGAAGAGACTGTGGGCAGAACAGAGACCGACCTGAAGCGCTCCTGGCCAGCCGTGTCCCAGATCTGCAGCTTCACGGACTTGCCGCCGACGCTGATTATCTTCGAGCCGAACTCCACGCCAATTGTGTGGTTGCTGTCTTGCTTAACTGACGAAGATGGGTTACTGTTACATCAAGCACTGACAAAAATATTATTGTTTTTTATATAACATCAACTTTTAGTTGTTGACAACTGTCATCCCTTCACAGACTCACGACACATGATCAAAAGACAAAAAGGCATGCAGAGAAAAAAAAATCAAGATGATTGGGATATATAAAACCAAATGCCAAGGGTTGAAGCTCATCCAACAACAAATAATGAGACTACAGTAGAAATTAATCAGTAACTAGCTGTGTAGACAACCTTCAAAGCCTCAAATGCTACTTCTCACATAAATTTTCAACTGAGAACTGAACTACTGTTCCTAACAGTAAAATTTCCCAATGGCAGGGACTTTAGAACACATATTTCAGTATTACTTACATTTGTTTTCAATGAATTGGTGCAAGATGCATGATTTTCCTGTACCTGCACTTCCAATCACCAAAAACTTGAAGAGGAAGTCTGCAAAGCAAAAAGTGCATAGATAAAAGCCTGAAAACCAACACCCCTGGAATACTTCATATTCACATTTCACATCAAGGATGGGCCTGAGCTATTTTTGCTTCACAGGCAGACAAAACACAGGTACACAACTACAGAATACAGCTCATTCCTCAGTTGTCACTTGCAGCCCCTGTTCAGTGTTCTCTCACAGCTAATTTGGACATAGTTGCCCAAACATGAGTGAATATTAACTTTCCTACAACATGAACAGACTTGAGGTTTAACAAAATCTAAGTCATTTTGATATGCTCAGGAACAATAGTATAGGCAGAAGGATTTGGAAACAGTCACTTACCCCTCCCCAAAAATGAAAAGATGCCACAAAACCAGAAGAGTTAACCCATGGCACATTATAAATTAGCATCTAATTGTCATGCTTTGTCAGTCTTAAATGGTGCACTTTTTCAGAGAACGTTCTTAATGTGAAAATCCTGCATTTCTGGTACCAACAGCAGATGTAACCCAGACACGTCTCATCCCAGCTCACCATAGGTCTCGGACATGATGAGATGCTGCCGCTGGCAACTGGTCGTGTGGCAGAGCTGTCACACAACTGCCTTCTATTGGCAAACACACTATTCCTCTTTGCCCTCTCTTTTCATAGAACCTGAGAACAAAAAGTATCAAACATAAAAAACAAATCACCGTTCCTTAAAATCATTTATCAAGACTTGAGGGTTGTAAATGTTGTAGAGAACCTCAACTTCCCCAAGGCTGTAAATTTCAGTTTTCATTCCCACAAAACAGCCTAATATGAAAGCGACACATCCTGATCCTAATTCCACTTGTAAAGTAAGTTACATAAAATTATACCCTTATCTGATACCTTACGCACTAAATAATAAAATAAAGCCATTATTATTACCCCAGCCTCTCCTCCGCGCGCTATGTTATGTTATGTTGTGATTCTTTTAGGCTGGGCTTCTGCAAGGTCGGGATAGCCTTGGTCGGGACCTAAAAATATAATCATAGTCAAAATGACATCATTGAAATCGGAGAAAATATTAAAAATTTATTCTTAGGCATTTGTATTATATTTTCATAACCTTTGATAAACATGATGCATAATTTAAGATAAAATAGATACATTTGAAAAATTTGGCTCTTTGAAAAATTTAGATATTTTGCAAAAAATAAGGACAGAACAAAAAACACAGCAAAAATCGATGACGTCAGCAAAATAGAAACAATAATATTTTAGGGCAAAAAATGACGCAAATCTACAAAACCGGTGGCTTACGACTACTAAAATAAACGTCCGCTCTCACGAGACCGCTCAACACATTTGGAATATGCTTATCGTGTTTTGAGATTCATGTGTGTTGTTGAGGGCTGGTACGGGGTTTGGTATTTTTGATTATTATGTGTAGTTTTTGTGCATTGGTTTTGCATCTGATGGTAGAATAGCGCCAGTTAGAGGGTCATGAATGTGTCATGGCTCTAAACAGGGTTATATTTTATTGGTTAACTTGAGTCCGAGCGGTTTCAATTTTAATCTTTTTTTTTTTTTTTTTTTTTTTTTTTTGCTCGGTCGGCCTAGTGCCGCTTACTCATAATGACTTGCATTTTACCTTTGTGAGCTTACTGTCACCGACTGACCTTCATCAGCCCAATTGGCCCCTGACTGGTTTAAAACAATGTTTTGTACATGTATGCAATTACATTTATGCTAGCATTGCTAGCTCTGGCCTCTGGGTATATCCCTGGCTGTAGTCGGTGGCCGAGTTCAGTTCAGGGTTCATGTGAATTTAGGGTTTATGTTCATGGGGATGGTTTGATGGCATGGTATTCCATCATGCTATTTCTGCCTTTTTCTCTTTCATCAGATTCAGGATGAGGTCTCAAGCTACAGTTTGTGGCCAGCTATTGCGACAAATAGATTTGAAGAACCATCTATTTGGTCAAGGTCTTATTAGTACGAGAACAATATCAGGAAGCCTGTCAGGCTCAAAAGGACAAAAGAAGGTTTGTATTTATCTGTTATGCTTCGGACTACCTCTAATTTTTTAATGAACAATCTCCTCTTGGAGCATGTTTTCATGTTTTACCATTGCCTCAGGGCTTACTAATTTTGCCTTGTGTTTGTCTAAGTTTGTGGTGCCATTGATTATGACCCTAGCATGGTGAAGTGCATTTTACTTTTTGCTATTTTTCTGTGGCAGAATGCTCGTCTGGAGGCACTGCGGGCGCAGGAAGTGGCCCCTCTTAGCGACTTCCTCACAGATAGTTTCGGCCGATTTCACGACTACCTACGAATCTCTCTGACGGAGCGCTGCAACCTGAGATGTAAGCTTTTATAGCGTTGAGTGTATGCCAGTGTACGTCCTTTGATGGCATATCTTTGATGGCATATCGGACATGCTTTCACCAACAGGGTGTGGTATGTTCAACTAAAGGCACACACCCAATGAGATGTGAGCAGTACACTTCTCCCCCTGAGGAATGTACTGTATCCTGGAGGAAGGTATGCTGACTCCCTCACCCCCTGTAGTTTCCATAGTATGCTGGAGCAAGGCGAGCTTCTCACTCCCCTCCCCCTCCCTAGGCCGGAGGAAGGCATTCCCCTGACTCCCCCTCCCCTTCGTAGGCACCTACTGTATGCCGGAGGAGGGCGTGCCCCTGACTCCCCCTCCCCCTCCATAGGCACCTACTGTATGCCGGAGGAGGGCGTGCCCCTGACTCCCCCCTCCCCCTCCATAGGCACCGACTGTATGCCAGAGGAGGGCGTGCCCCTGACTCCCCCTCCCCCTCCATAGGCACCTACTGTATGCCGGAGGACGGCGTGCCTCTGACGGAGCGCTCGCACCTGCTGACCACGGACGAGGTGATCCGACTGGCCGGTCTGTTTTCGGCCGCCGGTGTCACCAAGGTGCGGCTGACCGGTGGTGAGCCGCTGGTGCGCGCCGACCTCGCAGACATCATCGGTACGTGCAACATCCCCGCGGTAATTTCGCTCCACCGTGGGCTCTTCGGCACCCCTCCCCCCCCCAAATCGCGATATCTCAGACACGCCCTATGGCAGCTCTATGGTAAATAGGTAGTCGTGTTTATTGAAGTGTGTGGTCTCTGTCCTCGGGTCTTTCCGCCATAGTGAGCCTGAAGATGGTTGCCGGTGTGAAAGAAAGCTGACCCTCCCCCCCCCCCCCCACCGGCCCTAGCTGGCCTTGAGACGGTAACTGTTATTAAATCTCACCGTCCCATCTCTCCCCCACGGGCCTGAAGACGGTGACCTGTGTATGCTGACTCTCCCCTCCCTCCCCTCCCCAGCGGGCCTGAAGACGGTGGCCGGTATCCGGTCGGTGGCCATCACCACCAACGGCGTGGTGCTGGCGCGCCGGCTGGCCGCCCTGCAGGCCGCCGGCCTGGATGCGCTTAACATCAGCCTGGACACCCTGGTGCCGGCCAAGTTTGAGCTCATCAGCCGCCGGCGCGGGTTCCACCGCGTCTGGCAGGGCATTCAGACGGCCCTGGCCGCCGGCTATGACCCGGTCAAGGTGAGGGAGAGGCAGCGGAGTTGGGAGAGGGATATTGATTATGTGCTGATCGGTAACTATATTCTGACCTGGTAGCATTTAGTCCCTACTTGACCACCTGCGAGATGAGCTGTGTTATGCCTTTATTTCATCGGATTCCCGGTCTTGAACGAGCCGTTTGAATGGCATTGGGCACATCTTCCCCGACGTCTCCTACTGAACTGTGTGTTTATTTGACTTGCCTTCTGCGACGGATGATGTATGCTGACCTTACTGCCCTTCTCTGACGGATGAACATGTTGTAATGAACAGTCCCTTGCCCTCCGACAGCTCAACTGCGTCGTGATGCGCGGTGTCAACGACGAAGAGCTGGAGGATTTCGCGACCCTGGCCGAGACGTACCGACTGGACGTGCGCTTCATCGAGTACATGCCGTTCGACGGCAACCGCTGGAACGACCGCAAGATGGTGCCATATGGGGAGATGGTGGAGCGGCTGCGGCGGCGCTGGCCGGACCTGGAGCGGATCGCCGACCGGCCCAACGACACTTCCAAGGTGGGGCGAGGCGAGATAGCCGAGGTGACAACACGTCTTAGGTGGATAGATAGCGACATAAGGACACGTTCAAGGTGGGGAGATAGCCGAGACGACACGTCCAAAGTGGGGTCAGCTGGTGGACCCTAGGATACGTCAGGGGCGGGAAGAATGACTGAGACAAATGACAATATTGCTCCAATTAGTATATTATACCGGGATAACGGTTCGTCAGAAGTGATAACAGATCGGGGTAGTGACTCGCCACAGGATGGGGAATAACCAGAACGACACAGGAAAGGGTAGCCTACCGGTAAAACCAATGTCAAAGAAGCATTTAACGCATATTATTGAGGAGGACGGGACTGCCACACCCATTATCTGCTGTGTTAATCTGACCGGCCTCTGTGCCCATGTGCCGCCAGGCGTACCGCGCGCCCGGCTGGGTGGGCCAGGTGGGGTTCATCACCTCCATGTCGGAGCACTTCTGCGGCACCTGTAACCGACTGAGACTCACGGCCGACGGAAACCTGAAGGTGTGCCTGTTCGGCAACTCGGAGGTGTCGCTCAGGTCAGTTGGAGGTCAGGTCACCCTCCGCTGGGTATTCGGTGTGTGTGGGTGTATGGCTCAGGCCAGTCGGCTGCTGCTGCGGGTCGGTTGATGTCGGGTTTGTGTGTGGATGCGCGGACCTCAGGACAGTCGGCTGCTGGTTAACCGTGCTGCCTAAGATGTCCCCTCTTAATTTTCGTGCATTAATTTCTGCCCTGACATGTATCGTGACCTATGTGCGTATTTCCTCACACTGACTTCAGTCCTATTTCACATTGAACCCTTGTTCCGATTTAACGGTGACGACCTCGGTTTTCACCCCATCTATTGTGCTGCATTTGGATTCAGTTTTGCTGGACTCGGCCCTGACCTCGTTGTGACCCTTGTGTCATCGCCACAGGGACGCGCTGCGCCAGGGCAGCTCGGACGAGGAGCTGATGACAATCGTCGGCGCCGCCGTCGGACGGAAAAAGAAACAGCACGCAGGTAACGTCGCTGTAACAGCTCACAAAGGAACGACAGGCTTGACACAGGGCTAGATAGCACGTCGGGAGGAGGCACGAGAGAAACCAGCACATGCCAGGGCGGCACGGTCGGACGGACAGACTGACGGGTAGACAGACACAAGATTGGGCGGCACAGGTCGCCGACTGAAAAGAAGTGACGGACAGCTGCTGGGAGCGGGTGGACAGACGGACTCAATGATAGGCCGTCTGTCTAAGTATCGCCGTTTCTTCCACTCCTGCCGTAATGCTGCTACTGCTGCTATTACTGCTGCTCCTGAATATGTATGGTTATGGCAAACGGTGCCTATGGTGGCTAATTATTGCAGTGTGACGATGTGACGACTGCTCTCCGCCCGCCGACAGGGATGCTGGACTTGGCGGCCATGAAGAACCGGCCGATGATCCTCATTGGTGGGTGATAGCGCGGTCCCGGGCCGGGTCCGCCGCTGAGCGTGAGTAGAGCGGAGACACCCTCGCCACCCGGCTAACCCGGCTGACATATTGCCGAACCTGCTGGCCTGTCGCTGACCCCGCTGACCCGCTGCCTACCCCGCTGACCTGCTGCCTACCTCGCTGACCTGCCGCTGAGCTCACTGGCCTACCGCTGACACTGCTGAACCTAGTAGAATGTCCCTCTGTCTTTCTTGCTAGTTTGTCTCGTCGTGAGTGTATCGCAGTCTCGCTAGCTAGTTTTCCTGCTTTCTAGTTTTTGTCTTGCATCTTTCCTGCCTCTGCATGCCTAACAATTTTGTACCTGTTAAGCTTCAGATGTTTTATGATATTGCTAGTGTATGTACATGGCTTTAGTGCTTATCGCTAAAGCTGGATTACAATGTCGAGGCTATCTGGTGTGTTTTCCTTCTTTAGTGAATCGCCGCCTTGGTAAATGGAGGCCCAGCCTATGAGGAATCCCCCCCCCCAAACAAAAATGTACTAGCTTTGGTAGATAATTTTACCAAGCACCATGCTCAAATGTATTTTAGGTGGTGCCGTTTCTTTTCCCGACTTGTCTGGACATCATAGGACGCGGTCTTTCTCGTCGCTACGTCGTTTTTTTTTTACATTTTCGTTGGGTAAAAGCGACACAATAGTGTGTTGGCACAGATGTCTGTTTGTTTTGCTGATTGCGTTGTGCTCCGACTGTGTACTGACTGTCTCTGTTTCTGTGCTCGGCAGGCGCGGGCCGCCGGGGCCGGCCGCTGCTCCGCCCGCCCGCCGCCGCCGCCCGCCGCGCCGTCGCCGTCCGACAGTACAGCGATGACGCCTCGGACCGGCCGGCGGGAACGGCAGCCGGGGAGCAGCGGCGCCGCTCGGGAGAGACGCTGCACAGTGACTACTGGGACCAGTACCGCGCATACTACGGGGGTAGGGGCGGCGGCCCGCCCGAGCCCGCCGCCCCCGCCCCCGCCCGACCGGCGGAGCAGCCCGAGCCCACCACTGACCGCCCGACTTCGCCCGCCACCGCCCCCGCTCCCGCTCCGTCCGCCGGCCGGCTGACCCACACCGACTCGGCCGGCCGCGCCACCATGGTTGACGTCTCGGAGAAGCCTGTGAGCCGGCGTCGCGCCGCTGCCTCCGGCGTCGTTCTGCTCGGCCCCGAGGCGTTCGCCCTGGTAGAAGCCAACGCGATGGCCAAGGGCGACGTGTTGTCCGTGGCGCAGCTGGCGGGTGTGATGGCCGCTAAGCGGACCGCTGAGCTGGTGCCGCTGTGCCACCCGCTGCCGCTGGGTGCCGTCCACGTTCGACTCGCGCTGTGCCCCGAGCGGCACGCCGTCGAGGTACGCGCGGAGGTCATCTGCACGGGCCAGACGGGCGCAGAGATGGAAGCGCTGACGGCCGTCGCCGGCGCCGCGCTCACCGTCTACGACATGTGCAAGGCCGTCAGCAAGGCTATCCAGATCACGGACGTGCGGCTGGAGCACAAGTCGGGTGGCAAGAGCGGTGAGTATCGGCGCGACGACGCGTGAGCGGTCCGCTCGGGCGGACTGCGGAGAGGCGGAGGGGTGGGAGCGGGAGGGAGAGGGTGGGTTGTGTGGCTGGTCTGGGGTGGGGTTTGTGTGGTTTGTAGACTGTCTGATCACGTCAGTTCGATGCATCGATATTTTGATAAGTTGAGATTGTGTGATCCATTGACGGTGACCTGTCGAGTGAGTAGTCTGAGGTACACGGGCGTTCCTCTCCAGCGGGTACTTGTGCCACGGTAGTGTTGGTTGGGACCAGGACGTAGTTCGCTAGTCGGAATTAGTCCAAGTCGTAAGGTGAAGGTGATTAGATTGGGGGACGACCTAGCCGTCAATTAGAACATGGTGCTTTGTTCTAAGCAGCTTGATAGAAAAGTATTCATAAGCGAAGAATCCTTACATTGTCTAGTCTAGTCTATTAGACCACAAAAGTATTACTGTTAAGTATTAAAACAGTAGCTCTAAAACATATGTGTATTGTCATAATTGCAGTTGTGCAATCTGCGCATAAATCTATGTTCGTCCAGCGGAGAACGTAGGTATAGTACATTTTTGTCCATTAGAAGTATGACTATTTTTAGGTGGGGGCATACTGATGCCTCTGTATACCTGGCGTGCTGAGGAATCAGGTATATGTATATGGTGGAGGTTAGCAGCAGTGATTCATTTTTGTCCTTGCTGACTTCTGTCACGATACACGTCAGGGTCAATCACTTTCGACGGCGAATTTTGACGTCGGGTTTTATTGGCCAGTGCTGTTCTTGCGACGTTTTGAATGAGCGTCGTTCCGGCCTTTGGATGCATATTATGCATGTAAACGATGATATTTTCTTACGATTACATATCGAGCATCCTACAGCAATCGATTTTTTTCCAGCGGGGATGAAATGTATGTTTGATGTAAGGTTTTTGTCCCGTCTATTTGTGCGGGTTATCCTGTGATGAGCAATAATTGTGATGGATGAAGTTATCCATTGTTTATAGCATTGCTGATAATTGTGATGAAGAAGGGCGCAGTTTGAGGTACTAATACACGGTAAACAATGGGCAGCTTTGCGTTTTATGTGTAAGACGTATGGGAAAAGCTTAGGGTGTTTTCCGATATCTCAAACGAATCCCTGAGGGTCTCCCCGCTCAGCTGGTTGATGGTGTCGCGGTCAGTTCAGAGGTCAGCCGCCTCGTGCACTGTGCAGGCTATCTGTGCAGACTTGTCGATTGGGTTTATCGGTGTGACTGCTCGCAATGCTCAGCCAGTGTGTGTTGGTTGCCGGCGGTGTGAGCTGCTGACGCCGCCGGACGGATAGGATCAGCGGCCTGTGCATCGGTCAAGGTAAGTCTGCCTGGAGTCCTGGACCCTGACTATTTTTCTGTTTTGATGTTGCGCTGTAGGCGTTATTGTCTATCCTCACTAGGAATGTTGCAAAGGATATGTGTTCAGGTAGTCCTTATGGGTGCTTCTAGGGAATCAGCGGGCGTGTGGTGTTATTAGACTGCGGTCTGGCACCACATACTGCCTGTTTATGTGCTTGCATGCCCATCATTTATCTACTCTTGATTTCACGTGAATATGACTGTACCAGCGTGACTAAGTGTTGCGATCATACCGCGATTGGACCTGTGCTACCGCTCACTCTGACCTCCCTCCTCCCTCCTGCTCATGCATGAGATAACATGCATGAGCACCCCTGGGCCGACCGTAGACACGGAGCGCGCCGAAACTGGGAAGTTCGGGAGGAGCATCGCGCGCAGGAATGCCGTGAAGAGGTGCCCCCTGCGACAGTGGGCCGCCCCCGCCCGGTCGGCCGACAGTTCCAGGGTGACTTGGCACGGATCTGAAGCGGGTGCACCACCGCCGGCTGGGCGGCTGCGGGATCGACATTCGTCGTACGTCTCAGGTGGGTGGGCTCTGCCCGGATGCCGAAATATGTACCGAAAGGGTTGTAAATGTTTTAGTTAATCTGTACAGAAAACCGTTTTAGATGAACATTCAAGAATATCACTGTCAGATAGGTATCTATCGTTATTCATATTTACGCTATAAATTCTGATTCTGGCTAATCACGCGGTCAGTCGTAGCGGTGTGCAATCAACCTTTGTGCTACTCGAGTGCGAGTCGCCTGGCCATTGAACCGAAACTCTCGTAAAACACTTAGTGCACGTTATCTACGAGAGGTGTCGTTTAGGTACTGCATTTAAAGTAAGCTGATTACATGCACGATATCTTGATTCCTATAGAGCACAAGTACCAGAGACTTACGAATAGATCGCCCCATCGCCCCACTTTGTCCTTTGCAGTACGTTCTCAGATTCATGAAATCATGGGATCCCCTTATCCCGCTTTGCGCAATAACTCCCGTCTCGCTCTATTCCAAATGCTTCAGACTCAGACGATGACGCCTTCGATGACGCCGAGGCGGCGCTGCTGAACCACTACCTGGCGTCATCGAGGGGCTCTGCGGCGGCGGGGGTGTCGCGGCGGCCAGTCTCCACACTCGGTCATTTCCAGAAGTCTCCGGCTCGGACCTCTGCTGTCCCGTCCGGCAAGGTGCAGCAGACGCTTATCTCTGAGCGGAATCCGGAGGACACTTCAGCAACCGATCAGGGTGAGTAGCACGGCCATCTTCTGTGTGCGTGTCAAACTGGATATGCTTCATGGAACATGGTCCCTCTTAATTTTTGCAATATACACAACACTGCAAATTTAGTAGATATGCATCACGATGTTCCGCCAATAGATCGCATGTCCATGATCCACCTTGACAACCATTTTACACGATTTCCCACGATTCGTCCATTCAGGGCAATGTCCGTCCGAGACAGCCGACCATTCAACCCGGGACGGCGACGGGACCACCGATGATGCAGCTGCCGCACTCTGCAGCGAGCTGACCGGGTCTGTGCCATCCGCGGTCTCAGTTGGACTCAGCACGGCGACAGGGACGGACCCACCTCGTTTTACGCCATCTGGGTCGTCGGCTGCCACTGGGACGAATCCACCTCGATCTGCGCCGTTTGGTGTCTCCGCTGATGGCCCGATGACTGAGACTAGGATGGCGCCACCCCTCTCCGCGCCATCCGGTTACACCTCTGGGACCTTTGCCGCGTCACCCCGCAATACGTCCTCTGTCTCGGCCTCAGGGACCTATACCGCTCAATCCCGCCCCGCGCTGGCCGCCGTCTCTGAGAAGGTAATCACCGAGACGTATGTCGGCAACGGCATCACCTACACCAAGCAGACCAGCGTCACCTGCTACCTGACTTGTGAGACGGCACCGGAGGAGGGCAGCGGACCCCAGGGGCCGGCCAGGAAGTGCCAGTCCCTGCCCGCGGCGAGGGGCGGCCGGTGACCTGACTAGTGACGATGGTCGTTCGACACTGCCGGTCGGTGACTGGGTGTCCGGTCCGGTGACCTGAGACTGTTTACGCCGTCTGATGACCGGTGCTGATTGCTTTATGTCCAGTGGCGAGTGGTGACTGCGCACCTAGCTAGTGACCTATGGGGTGAGTACATGGCGGAACCGTCCTCTCCCCTGAGTTTCGAACGCCGCCGGCCGTCGCTTCACGAAAGTATGGCCACTTATCTACTAGGTCTATGACGAAGGACTGTTTGTTGCCAGGCTTGGGCTATTATGGTACCTACCTACTTTCAAGACACTTTTACATGATTTGATGATAAATATAGTGAATATCTTTGCTATTCTATCGTTGTTTACCTTACCTGTTAGAGTAAATTACGTCGTGTATCGTACACGTATATTCAGCAATGCACTGGCGGCTCGCACGTTTATACCACAGCCTATTCCATTTTGCCGAGTTTTATTCCTCTCAATAATTTTTTTTTTTCTGTCAGGCATCAGATATTGAACTCTTCAACTCGTCCAGTAGGTCTTGGGAGATAAGCGCTCGCTGCAAGGCTTTGGCATGCGACCATGTCTGTTTCGCGCTCATTCCCATGACCCATACCTTTAGCCTTTTCGATTCGCCATCCATTCGAGCAGACCAAGAGATATATATATCAAATGTTCCCACCCGTCAGCAGTCCATTGAGTATGCGAGCTGAGTCATGTTTCCGTTTTTCTGCAAGGATGCGGTTCACGGACACATTTGGGCACACATTTACTGCGTTTTGTGACATCTGAAGTTTGAAAGGCGGCATTCGTCACACAAGACCGGACCTCAGACGGCACTCACCACACTGACCGAACTGGACCTCAGACGACACTCGCCACTACTTCGGCCTTAGACATCCTCAGAGTCAGGCCGGCCATCAGGTGGTCGCTGGGCCGGCCCTCAGGTGGTTGCTGACGCCGCCACCGGTCCGCCGGTGACGTACTGACGCAGCTGCCAGGCGTCAGGCACAGAGCGGCGGATCTGCTCGTATTCGGCACCCGTGGCTGGGTCGCTCCAGAACCGCCGGTGGTCATGTCTCCAGTCCCTGGCCAGCCGCTCGGCGGCGGCCTCTGTCAGGTCCAGCGCGCTCCGCAGCCTGCCGGCCAGGTCGCTGTGGTAGTCTGCCGTGGCCTCATGCCGCGCCTCGGCGAGCGATATCAGCGGCTGTGGCACCACGCCGCGCTGACCGAGCCGCTGCTGCTCCGAGGACCTCAGCAGTACCGCCACGAACTCGGGCGCGCAGGCGCGGAGGGCGCGCTCCATCAGTGGCCCGTTCAGCAGCAGGTCGGCGCGGCCGCGCGGCGTGCTCAGCTCGGCGGTGAGTGCGCCGTGGTGCCGACACCAGGCGGCCACGGCGGCCGGCCGGCGCACCAGCATCGCCCACTGGTCGTCAGTGAGCAGCGCCACCAGCGGCGCCGCGTCCCAGCGGAGTCCGCCGGCGCCGTCCGCGCTCAGCCGCGAGCTACCGGCCACCTCCGGCGGCGCCACGAGCAGCGCGCGCAGCAGCAGCAGCTGCGGCCCGACCAGCGCCGCCGCCAGCCAGCACATACGCCGCAGCTCGGGCGCGGCCGCCGCGCGCACCAGCACTGGCACCGTCACCTGAATGCTGTCCTGGTTCTGGATGAGGCCGGTGCCGAACGACGCCATCAGGATGACGGCCTCGAGGACCAGGGCGCGCGCCAGACAGGTGCGCAGCTGGTGCTCTGAGAGTGGCTGGCCAGCAGCGGCCAGCACCGGGCCCAGTGTGCGCATGTGCAGCTGGGCGCAGGCGGCCAGCAGGAGCCGGGGCAGCTCCCGGCGCAGCAGGCGCAGTGTGCTGAGCATCCCCTCGTGCTCCTCGACCGTGGTGCGACCCAGCAGGTTGATCTCCGCCCAGAAGAAGCTCGGCAGCCGGCCGGCGGTCACCGCCTGCTCCAGGAAGTCGAGGATGTCGCGCGCGCCCTGCGTTGGACTGGCCCAGCCGCTGGCGGGCCGCTCCTGGCACAACCAGTACAGCGCTGTCTTCATGTAGTACGACTTGACGCCCTTGCCGTGTGGTCCCAGGCGCGCCTTGCACGCCTTCAGGGCGATCAGGGAGCAGCGCTGCTGCTCGGTTAGGTGCCAGGCGGCCACCACCTCGGCTCGGGAGAAGGAGAGCCGCCACTCTGAGAACTCGGTGGCGCTGCCGGGACACCCGGTAGGCACCAGGTGCACGCCGAACTGCTGGATCTCGAGCCGGACGGCCACCGGCGGCCAGTCGCGGGTGCGGCGGCGCGTCACGAACTCTGCGGCCGGCCACCAGGGCGCGCGCAGACAGGGCACCAGGTCGTCGTCGTTGGATCCGGCCAGCCGCGGCGTGCTGTTGGAGGTGAGTGCCGTGGCCGGTCCGCTGGCGCCCAGAGTATCCCCCGGCCGGCGGCGCACCTCGGCCGACAGCTGCAGCAGCCGTCGGATGTCGGCGGCGCTCAGCGGCAGCGGCTCGGCGTGCCCGCACTCGGCCAGCGGCTCCTGCAGCAGCCGCACGAACCCGGCGTTCGCGGTTGGCACCGCCCGCAGTCTCGGCCCCGTCTGCTCGGCGCCGTCAGCCGCCCACTGCACCGGTCCCAGCTCGAACATGGTGTCGAAGTCGGAGTCGAGCCGCAGTGTGGCCTCCACGTCACCAAAGCCCTCCATCTGACTTCCCGAGAGCACGGCGCTGAGCACGCGCAGCCGGCCGAGCGGCGAGCAGCCGCAGCTGGCGGCTCGGCGCTGCAGCAGCTGCAGCAGCGGCCGGTCCCAGAGGCGGCGGCCCAGCTGCACCTGCTCCACGGTCACCTGACGCGTCCATTTCACCGCCGGGTGGAAATGGTGCGCCTTAGAGAGCACGCAGTCGATGAGGATGTCGGCGCGCTCCCCACACTTGGCCAGCAGTTGATCGGCAATAGCCTCCGGAGTCTGTCGCGCCCCGCCGGCCGCCATCGCAGCGGCCGACTCAGCTCGCCGGCCGTCACAGTCAGGGTATATGTCACAGTATTCTCGCCGGGTCTCACATCCGTCATCGCGCCGCGCAGGCTCGTCTGTCTCTCTGGCTCATCTGTGCAGCTGTTCGGTCTGGTAAGGCAGGATATCGGAGTCGATAGGTCAACCGTCCGCCGCTGCGTCACGCACTGCGCCACTACCGCCCGCGACCGCCGCGTTTTTACTGCGGCAGGCTCCAGCCACGCTCCAGCGCCGGCCGGAGCGGAGCACAGAGCCCAGCTGACCGCCGGAGTCGCCGACCGGCTCGTGACGTCACTGGCCGGTCCCACGTAATGGTCGGAACTGCTGGCGGGCAGAGGTGGCGCAACCGGCAATAACCGGTAATGCGCAACGTGTACTAGCAGCGTACTGCTATCATGCGTGAAACACCATCCCGGCCATACCGGTGATAAGGGTGACTAATGACTATACTCTGAAGTCTGAACCTACGTCTCATAGGGGTGAGGGGGGGGGGGGGGGTAGCGAGGACATTCCACTTATCCCTGCATGAACACGTGGTCGCTTAGGTTGTGCTCATTTCCAAATCAAGAACTAAGTCATTCATTTAGATGTTATATAGTAAGCGCATGTGCGGCCATAATCAGTGACAATGTGTATTGCTTCTCTCTTTAGCAGCGGTACCGTGTTGATACAACTTTGTGAAGGAAGGAAGCGGTATGAAATACGATGTCATGACGCAGTGCAAACAAAACCCAAGCTAAACTACTTTAGCATACCTAATCACCGAACAAGACCTTTATCTGCACCTAAACGGTGTCACATTTATTTATATTACGATAAACATTTCACGGTACAACAGCTGAGATCTATGTAGTTTTGTGCGAAGTACTGATGACGCAAACGAAACGATGCATGAGTTAACATCTTGACATCCCAGAGACGTTGAGACTCGACACTTTGAGGCCAATGTTAGTGCCAAGTACTGATCTAAATGCCTATTGCCTTCCGGTATCGCGGGACATACGTCGGACTCAGATTCGGCCGGGTTGTTAAACGGTTCTTACGACGGTCAGGAGTTCATATCGACTTCCAGCATCATCGAAAGTGTCAACACTCGCCGTCAGTGACAGTTGTCAGTGATAGTGTAAATACATCAGTGGTTGACGTCACATCAGTGTAGACTGTCAGTGGTGATGTCACAACTGACACATATTTTGATGTGGCAAAACATACTAAAGAGCACCGCCTCTCTGTGCCTCTGGTAGTTAGCACCCACGCTGACCCACGCTGGTATTTATAGTTACCGTGGTTAGCACCGACACTCGCTATCAGGCATTACGACAGTGTCGACTCTCAGTGTCAGCGGCCGTGCCAGCGGCGCACTGTGTGCGGGTGCGCCCATCGGCCCGCCTCCGCCGCCTTCCCGCGGCGCTTCTCCGTCTCCTCCCACTGCCGACCGGGTCTGATCCTGACGAGTCGCTCCAGCAGGAACACCAGCAGCGCCAGCAGCGTGCCCATCAGGTAGAGGATCAGCGAGGAGACGATGTCCTCCAGCACCAGCGGCTTGGTGGTGACGTCCGTGAAGATGGCCCCGGTGCTGCAGTTGGACGGCTTGGGCCAGTATTCGGAGCGCCACCGACTGAACAGGCCCGACTCGGACATACGCAGGAACCTGTGGCGGCGATATGGCAGGACGGTGTCATAGTGAGGTCACGGGTCGCGTCAAGATCAAGTCAAGACTTCACGATTACGCCACAATTCCGCTACATTACGTTAGTCATGCCACGGGTCGCGTCACAGTAACGTCATGATCAAGCCATGGCCTGGTGGCGTTATGGTCGTAGCTCCGGGGGCGACAAGGGAGTTCATAATTCATATCGAACACGGCGGTAGTCGGCGTTACACGTAAGCGTTAGACATGAGACTCAAGCTAGGAGCAGGAGCTTAACGTGCGTTTGAAGTTCCTGACATATTCATTCATGTATTCATTCATTCATTTATTCATTTATTCATGATATCACAGACTTATGTAACACTCAGCTCACTTGCTCCTGGCGATGGCTGTCAGGCTACAATGCTGTGAAGTGTGATGTGATGCACCTGACTCTCAGTTAACGAGGATTCAGGTACGACCATTTACTCTTCCCACCTAAAATTCGCCCAGTATACGATCAAGGGCTCACTTGGGTGACTACTGACTTACTCCCAGTTGAAGAGGTCCCGCACGGGACTGCCCGTCTCCAGTATCCAGCCGAAGCCGGCCGTGAAAAACTCCTCACGGGCGATCTTGAGCCGACACTGGCGAGTCGTACGGAAGTCGTCATCCAGCACAAAGTCCAGGTACGACTTCTCCTGTGGTAGCAAAAAATTATTTAGTGATTTTGTTGGTAATTAAGTACCGACAACCTGCCGACTTTATTTACAAACGAGCTACCCTCCACTCTACGTGCCGTCCTACATAGGCTAAAACGATCACGCCCAGTGACCTACTACCCATTAGGTATTTGAGCTCAGCATGTGTCTTAAGCCGTCACCAAACTGTTCCTGACCATCCACATCGCTTCCGTTTCGTCTCCTGACTCGGTCTACCCGAGAAAACTCGGCCTATAGCAGGGTTGTGCTTGACTCATGAGTCGAGTCAGAAATTTGACTCAACTCTGACTCAAATGAGTCAGATTTGAGTCGAGTCGGATAAAATGTTGAGCTGTTGAGTTGAGTCAGAGTTGAGTCGGACAAAAAAATTAGGTGTTGAGTTGAGTCAGAGTTGAGTCAGTAAAATAGCTTTTGACATTGAGTTGAGTCAAAAACAGTTAGCAACTTGAGTCAGCTGACTCAACTTTCTAGAAACAATATATAGTATAAGTTTTTCATTCTCCCCCCGCTTAACAACTTAAGCCTGGCACTGCTGCCGGATTTTTTCACCCCCCCCCCCCCGCACAACAACTTTTTTATCTGAGTCAATTTTGAGTCAACACACTTGACTCAACAAAAAATTTGAGTCAAGTTTGAGTCAACTCATATTTTCATTGAGCCGCTTGAGTCATGAGTCGAGTCAAGGGAAAAAATCAGCTCCTTGTTTGAGTCAGAGTTGAGTCAGGGCATTCTGAAGTTGAATGATGAGTCGAGTCAACAAATTTTTTTGAGTCGAGCACAACCCTGGCCTATAGCCCCCTTTGACATTTTCCCGCCCAGACGTAGTTGTATTTACCCAGACCCGGGCCCAGTTTTCTCCCCTGATGTCTGCTCCCCGCCGGTGCCTGACCTTGATGTAGGCGTAGCGTCCGCTGAGCACGCCGGCTATGCCCTCGTCATCCGATGCCACCCGGCTGCTCGGGTCCGCGCCGATCTTCCTGTATATCTCCGACTGCGACGTCTGCCAGACGCAGAAATGAGTGTAGGTGAAATAACAATACGACGCGTATCTGATCGATATCTGACAGCGTGAACAGCAAATGCGCTCGGACGCGAAATATGCAAGGCAAAATGAAACAAAATAGGTATATTCGTACCTCATGTTAGATTCACCACGCTCGCTCATTCGTTCGCTCCTCCCCCCCCCCCTATATCCCTCACTAGCACTCACTTCATCCCTTCCTCACTCATTCACTCATTGACTCACTCACTCACTCACTCATTCACTCTCTCACTCGCTCCCTCCCTCCCTCCTTCCCTATCTCTCTCCCCCACTCACACTGAACAGACTGTCATGCGCCGTGTCTCGTCGGAACCGCCAGCGGAGCTCCGTCTGGGACGTCAGGTCCTCCAGCGAGTTGATCTTGTCCGTCACCGTGGGCACCGTGAGGAAGGCGATCAGCGTGCCTGTGGCGCAGAACTGCAGTCAGGTGGGGTTTTAGGGCGCACGGCCTCCAGGGGTCATTGGCTGGTGTCGTCAGTCGGTGTTCATAGCACCAGAGGAACAGCTGCACGGAAAGGTCCGTCAGTTGTTAGTCTGTGTGCTGCATGGTGCGCAGTGATATACCAGCTCGTTGTATTGAGACCGCTGCTCGTCTACGGTCTACGCACAAGGCTATCTCTCAGGTAACTATGAGCCCATGGTCACAGAGTTAGCCGTGTGAGCAGTCGGGCGACTTACCCGTGTAGCTGGCTATGATGGTGATAGCCATGAGCCACCAGACGCCCAGCAGGACCCGCGAGGACGTGTTGGTCGGTATCACCTGTCCACCTGCAGCCCAACAAAATACCACGCCGTCAGGGCAGAGACAGGTCAGGGGGGAGACAGGACTTGTTGGTCCGGGTCGGTATCACCTGTCTACTCACAGTCCAGCAGGTAGCACACAAACGCTGTCAGCACAGCGACAAATAGAGGTTAGATATGCCTGAGGCTAGAGCTCCGCCACCTTATCAACCTTTTTATGTCCATCGATCAGTTGGATGTTTCCAGTGGTGAGCGTCGAGCGCATCGAAGCGAACAAAGTGATATGCCAAGTACCCGCTGACGACAGACTCCATCAAAACTCGTGAATGGCTTACGGATCTACTCTATTTACGAGCCAAAATATGGGAATGTGTAGAACGGAACGACATGAAATTACACCTAGCCCAATCGGTAACACCTTTGATCAAGCCCCGGTTCAATCAGCCGTCATGGAGACCGACCCTGACGGTGACGGTGGTTAATTTAGCTTAATGATAAATTGTTTTAAATGCAATCTACCAAGTTCATACCGTATAAGAACACTCCGTGTCATTTAACGTCTTACATTTCAAAATATCTGCCTGTCGTGAAATTTTTAACGATGACACTTAAATCCAAGGTAGAAATCCATCAATTCAATTCAGTTCATTTCAAATCGGCCTGTTTATCACCATCAATAAAAATGTAGCGTTACGCCGATTCGTCTGTCTCTCCCGTCTATTTAGCGATTTGTCCTACCGCGGAAGCCCCCCTCTCTGTGGGATGTAATAGGTGTAGCGCTCCGTTTACCTTGTGACAGCAGGCCGCCGAACATGTACCACTGAATACTAAAGTAGCGGACTTTGGCGTCAGGCCGGTGCGGGTACAGTTTCGGTATCAGATGCTCGGCGAAATGGTCCAGGAAAGACATGACCGGAGCGATCAGCAAGAGAGTCAGCAAAACTGCCACCCACACCTGAAACAAACAGATCATCATCATGCCTTTTATAGGATTAGGTACCTACACTTCGGCATTAGGAAACAACTGATTCGCGGTAGAATCAAATTGTAATGGTTTACAGACTACAGTACTAACTCATAATCATACATAATATTTCCATGGTTAAACCATAGTGTGTTAAACATAACCGGCAAATAGGCTATAAAGTATAACAAACTCTTTACCCTAATAAAAATAGACTTAAAACGCGGTTGTGGATATTTATTACATTCGCAACAGGGAAGAAAACGTTGGATAGTTCGCGTTGGATCGAAGGACGTCTCCCTGTTTTTAACTAGTAAACTGGCTATCATTGGTGAAACTGGCTTTTCCTGAGACACCATACGCTATACCTTCATAAACCTCTATCTTTTCCAAATTCTACGTAGCCTTAGCCTTGACTTCTCCCATCTGATGGCTATTGAGGACCAGCTCTCCCGCTTTACGCTGCACAACTTTATAGTGCGACTGGTCGGGCGTAACACTGTACCTACCAGCGACGGAGGCTCTGGGTAGGCTGTACCGCAATGCTTCGGCGAGCGGCGGCGCAGTCTACTCGCAGACGGCAGAGTAGGTATAGGGTAGTGTGGGGTAATTTGAACATATTTTTACGTCTTCTCCGTTGTACCAAATTCCAGTTCAACCCTGGATGAAGAAAAACTGCTTCAGTAGCGCAAGTGTCACTTGCTTTCACCATGAAAGCCTCATTTTTGGACGAGCCGAGCATACCTTGAATAGCATAGCCTCACTTCTCCACCAAGTCACGGTGTGTTCAAATTGCCCAACCGTGGGGTAATTTGAACATACTGCCTTTACCTGTCATAAAAACGATAGTCTCGCCAGCACCGATGTTGTTTGACCCATAAACAAATAAGCAGAACAATTCTAAACATACCTTCACTTGAAAAATCAACACAACAGCAAAAATAACAGTTGCAGAGTATCAATATCTGCACGCTGCACACCGGTCAGTTGACAGAATTTGCCCCTCTTCAATTAACAGAACGTCTATCATTTTTGTTCGATAAAAACTCTCCCAACCGTACTACATCTGTTAAAGTGGTGCCAATCGAAACCTGGACATTTGGAGTTCTGATTTTGTCCAATGTCCAATTCGGAATTGTTTGGACAAAGGTAGTAGACTGGACAATACTGGACGATGGCTTGCTACACTTCAGCGCTTTTTATAAAGTAATCGTGCATAGCATTGATTGGCGAATGGAAAGCTTGTTAAGATCTCAATATAATGAACACTTTTCAGCTGGTAAAATTACATGATAAGCAATATAAATGACGGTTTTGAGTGTTGATAGCTGCATAATTTTCGGACATATTTGGACAAATAGTTGATTTAAACATTTTTGGACGGAAAATCAACAAAAATGCCGGACATTAGACGGATATTAGACGTAAATTTTCTAAAACTGGCATCACTTATCTGCTACTGCCTTGGGTCGAAAATATTGGCAAAAAAAAACTGGGAGCGTTGTTTTTTCGGAGCTATCCCTGTCTTCATTCAAATTCTCACACTATATGTTCAAATTACCCCACGCTAAAAGTTATTTTGCCATTTTAAAAAACAGGGTTCAAAAGCAAATTTTTTGGATTGACGGCGCTGATTAGGTCATTATACAACAAAAGCCGTTGCGTATTAGGCGCTAGCAATGCAAGATTTTGCGCTGCAATGAAGTTGCAATGACGTGTTGTTAGACGTTTTTCCTTGCGAAATTGATTTTTTACACTGTGCGTCAACATCTTCATTCCCTGAAACTTAAAACCCCGTTCATATGATAGCCCTTTTAGTTACGATAATTTCTCTCAGTGGTCTTATTGTCATGCCACTTATGGATTTTCCGTAATTTTCTGTTATTCACAGTTCACACTATGTTCAAATTGCCCCACATGTTCAAATTACCCCACCCTACCCTAATGTAGACGGCAACGTGTTGCAGCGCTGCTGCTCGATATAGTCGCTATGACTAATTTAACAAATTATCAAATGAAAAAAAAAACAAGATTTCCCACGCTGCATGATTCCCAGCTTTAGCAGTTTCAACACTCCACGCAGCAACAGTAGCAGCTGTTGTGTTGTGCACGATAATGAGAAAGGAGCCGGATCTGTTTCTAAGGAGCCTATCACGGCACACGGTGTGCACGTGCCTGCAGAGTGACGCAAGCTGTCAAGATCGTCACATTGCGGCTTTGATTGCGGCTTTAAAAAAACTCGGGTTTGCCTTCCTCAACTAGGTGTAGGTAGCGCCTCGGGTGTTGGGCGCCACCTTCGCTGGACCGCGGGGATGTTTTAACTCAACCACGCCCCGTCTAACTCGACCTCCGGGCCACGTAACGACACGCGGTCAGCGGCATTCAGAGAAGCGTCAAAATAAGGAGGAGGGCATTCAATTCATGCAATTATCAGGTCACGTCAACGGTCAGGTCACCAGAGGTCATCAAAGGTCAGCTTTTGCCCAATTTGACACATCTTAACAAATCGGTGGCCGGTGTATAACTCTGGAAAGAATATAACTAGAGTGGAAAATCGCATTTGAAAGCCTTTTGAAATCCCTTCTGAAGAATGTCCTCAGATTTGATCAAAGGTCAAAAGGTCAATGGTTTAGCAATACCTACCATCCAGAGTACAGAAAAGTTCGAATTGACGCCTTTGTTATCGTTTATCGTTTTGGATTCGTTTAATCTTCAATAACGTTTAATATATAGGTACCTATTAAGTTTTTATGTCGTTGAATTTATCGGCACCATGTTCTTCTCATCGAGATGCACCGAATCAACTATAATTTGACCTTTAAAAAAGGCAACTAAAAATTGACCAAAGCACGAGGTCATGACCAGACCGGAAAAGGTCATGTTACGTCTATATCGCAGTCGATATTCGAGTGTTTTTACGCTCTATACAATGTCATCAAAAGTCATTGTCGTAAAACTGCTAGTTAACTTTCATGACCTAAAATGCCCTCGAGGTCTATAAGGTTGGGTCATGGGTCCAATTTACCGATTAAATATTCAATATTAACCTCTTAGACGATGTCGACGCGTTTAGAATGGTATTTGTAAATTGGTACATTATGTACCCTTATCAATCCCTGGGAATCACAAAGAAATAAGTACGTCAGCGCAGCTCTGACGAGCATGAAAACTTTTAGTTTTGTCACTGTGACCATAGGTGGCGGAACGGGGAGGGCACAGGGGCACCGTGCCCCCCTTTGATTTTGGCATTTTAACATTAGCCATGCTCATATGGGCGTTGCATGGAAAGAATGGGACCAAAAGTCGGCAGTGCCCCCCCCCCCTTGATTGAAGGTGTTCCGCCGCTACTGACTGTTGTGACTGGATATGAACTGGTGACCTGACCTTGAGTGACCTGTGTCAAATTTTCACGCATGTGCAAAATAAAAATACATCGAAGGTTTGCCATCTACTTGATAGCAATATAAAAGCAGGCTGCCCATTTGAGTTAAACGCGTTAAAATGGGATTTATGTTCCTTACAAGGCGTGAAAATCTATGGGCAAACAATGCATGTCCATCGATACGTTCACCATTGACCATAAGTTGTAGTGCTGGCATTTTTGGCTACGGTTAAATGCTGATTACTGAAGAAATACCACAAATACTGAGGTAACTCATTTCTGTATTATAACCGATACAAGTCTAATCATATTGTCGTTAGAAAAATTAACGCCAAATTAAATGGCGTACAGTATACGGCCGGGCGCTCAGTCGGCAGTGGCGTACAGAACGGACGTCAGACTGCGGGCGGGCAGCGTCAGGCTGACGGAACCGCGAGTCGCGTCCGTGACGACCACCTGCTGCGCCTCCTCGGCCCTGTTGAGCAGCGTCACCACCGTCTGGCCGTCCGCACGCAGACCGACCACGCCCTTCAGACTGTCGGACGGATCCTCCATGGCGACGATGTCCGTGCCGTGCGGCAGCAGCACCGAGAAGTGGCCCAGCGCGTAGTACATGGGCTGCTTGAAGAACTGGTCGCCGTGCGCGTCTATGATGATGGGCGAGTCCACCTTATTACCGGCCCAGTTGGGTCCGCCCGTCATGTCGAGCGCGATGTTCCAGTCCACCCAACCGGTGACCCAGTTGTTGAGGTCGTCCATGATGTCGGCGGCGTAGGTATCAGCGCGCGACCAGGCGCCCAGCGCCACCTTCTTCTCGACCATGGAGCCCTCGCAGGCCTCGGTGGCGATCAGCGGAACGTTCGGGTGCAGATTGTGCGTGTCGGTGAGCAGCGAGGCCGGCGCATCCCCGTCGCGGTACCAGTGAACGCCGATGGCGTCCACGTACTGAGCGGCGTCGGCGTCGTCCAGGATCGTGTTCACCCACTCCGGCAGCAGGATGCGCTGGTCGTCCAGGATGATGATCTTGGTGTCGGAGAAGTTGGCGTTGCCGCGGATGGTGGGTCCAAGGTTGTCGCGCACCCAGTCGCGCTGCATCTCGGGCGTCCAAGCCATGGTGTTCCAGAAGCCGTATGAGTCCAGTCCGTTGGTCGGCTCGTTCTGCGTGGTGATCGCCTGGATCGGGATCCCGTTGGCCACGTACTCCTCCAGGAAGCGGACGATGTAGTCGGCCCACAGCTGGTAGTACTCGGTCTTGAGGAAGCCCATGCCGATGAAGTCGTTGTTGGTCTTCATCCAGGCCGGCGCCGACCAGGCCGAGCCGAAGAGCTGCAGGTCGGGAGCGAGTTCCCGCGCCGCCAGGATGTGAGGGATCTTCAGGAGGAAGTCCTCTTCGGTAAGGGCGAACTGCTCGAGAGACTCATCGCCCGGGTTGTCGTCGTACGAATAGGGTCGCTCGGAGAAGTCGGTGCCGGCGATCGGTACCCGACCCAGCTTGTAGCGGATGCCCTCCTCGGCGAAATAGGCGCGCAGCAGCTGGTCCTGCACCTCTGGAGACAGGCTGTTGATGTTGACGCCGGCCGCGTCCGTGAACGCGCCGCCGAACCCGCTGACCTGCTGGCGAGTCTCTGCCTGCGGCACCCGGACACCGGTGACCCACTCCGGCGGGCACGCCTCCGGGCCGAACTGGGCGCTGGTCACGGCGAACCGGTCCCCACCACGGGACGAGGTGACCACGAGCACATCGGCGCCGGACGGCGGCGTCAGCTCGGGGAACGTGTCGCAGTAGGTGGCGTTACACACGCACACCACGCTATCCTCGTCAAAGGTAAGGGGCGAGCAGGGCAGCGCGGCGGCGCCGGCGCTGAGCGCCAGCAGCGCGGCGGCCCAGAGCAGCAGCGCGCGGGACATGGTCGGAGCGGGGCGCGGGTGTGGCGGCGGCCTGGCCCGGACGCCGCCTTTTGTGACCGGCTCAGGTGGCGCGTTCCCAGGGGCTGGGCGGGCCGGCCCTGATAGCGGCTATCTGCTCGTGCGTCGTCGGCACCGAGCTCCGCCTGCAGATGTTCCCGCGACACGGCGCAGCCTTATGAATGCGAGGTCCGTTTATCGTGGCGCTGGCAGACGGTTTTTATTATTGGGGACTAAAAGTGAACGTCACCATTGTGCAGCGATCTGACCCATGCCCAGCTGACGCAAGTGTGAGTGACGTGGATGTCAAAAGCGTTAATCGGAACAGTATCCGGGCTTTTATTCCCTGGCAATGTCTTCTACATTAAGCCTTCATTTTACCTACAAACGGTCTCATGAGACTTCGCTATGACCTTGGAACACTCTTGATGCTATAACTTACACCTATGCTAGATCAACATATAAAAAGCATGAGTTATGTAACACGACTTATGAGGGAGATAACTGTGTAGGCATCCCTGGTAAAATGACAGCTGTCAGACCTCACCGTTGCAATACAGAACTAAGAATTAGGGTGCGTAGCGGAATTCTTCCATTTCTCCATGCCGGAAAGACGTTAAAATTTTCAGAACGGGGAAACAGAATCTTTACGAAAAGTGTAGCGGACCGTGGGAAAATTAAAACCATGTTCCCGTTTCTCCTTTACTCCTTTATAAGTGGTTATTCAAGCGGATCGGTTTACAGATTTATCCCCTGCAGATGATGCTTAGGAATAGGACTACAGGTGCACAATAGTTTTCGTTATAGTTGATATTCTCCTCCTGGCCCCGTGCTGTACTCACTCCCCACGAGAAGGGCCGCACCACCGCGAACAGCTTGCTGCCCGGCTTCGGAGGCGGCATCAGAATGGCAGAGGGTTCCTCGTAGAAGGGGATGGTGAAGTCGATGCCCTCCTCGCGGACCTGGCTGATGGTGAAGCCAGCCACGCCCAGATTCACCTCCTGGAAACACACGCCGGATCGGATCAGACTGCGGGCGATTTTTTGCCAGATTTACGCCGATCTACCCCTTGATATATTTTATTAGCATAATAGAAAATATCATATGCATCATAATCACATGTATCATAACCATAATACATATTATATGAGTCAATACGAATTTGCTTCGTATGGCACAGTTACTCTTACTTCGGGTATCACATTCCATAGAGACATGTCTACTCACATTTGAACACATTCATATCTCATGAAATATCGATAAGATTTACTGTTTGCCGAGTTCATTGTTGTTTATTTACCTGCCTATCAGCATCGACCTCTAAGACATGAAACAGGCGACTTTGACCTGGATCTAAGGTCTGACGGCATACCGGTGCAACAAGGGAATCCTGGACAAACAACCCGCTAGTTAGGTACGTATTTACACCTGGCGTCATACATTCCGGCTATCACCGCAAAATCTACTGGCACATCCAGTCATGAAAGCTGTTACTATTGACAAAGCCGGCCGTGTGGCTGCTGCGCGAACGGAATGGCGGCAATGTAGGAGCCAAATTTAAAGTATGTACGTCACGCCAATGTAAACACCACACAAGAATCAAACACTCCGAACCAAATGAGCAGAACCGGGGATGGTTTAGTTACTGCACACATTTTTAACGTCTATCAATCAAAACCAATGTCTCGCTCTTTTGATAAATTACAGGAGCTGCATAGCGTACCAAATTTATCAACAGATATATCTCTTCGCGTTTCGTTTCATACATGTGGTGCTGATACAAACTTGATAAGATTACACATTCAATTCTCATACATATTACATAATGAACAATAAGCCCAGCGTTTGTCGATATAAACTCACGGATCTGTTAACCATGCCGACCATGCCATTCCATGTTCCGTTTTCCAGCCGCTTTCCCCAGTTGCCGTCGTACGGTAGCCGCAGCTCCGTCCTGCAAGAGAGTCAGGCTAGGGCTGCGCAAAAGATAACACATTGATTTGGTGTCTGTCCAGTCCCGCTCCCGATCCCTGAACAACTGTGAGGTGTTTGTGTGGTAGGTGGCTAAAGATTCCACACCATGTCCTCACCTAAGCGAAAAAATGCGCCTTTTAATTGTCAGAATTATGCTAAGAATTAATAAAACGTCTAATATTGTCGTTAACATTGTATGAGCGGGTAAGAATTTAACATGAATTGCCAATAGTCCTAGCTTAGAATGGGTGAGCTCTTACCTAAAACCGTACTTTTCCTTTAGGGCATTCAGCATCTCGAAGCAGAAGCCCTGTGCGTCAAGTATTGTCTTCCCGTCTGTGGCCATCTTCAGGATAATAAACGGCGGCCTCTGGAAGCAAATAAAACGTTTTGAAAGGCAATTGCTTGAACGGCCATAGCTTCATTTATATCAGAACATTTTCCATTTTAGACAGAGGTATCTGATGCCACGAGCGGATCCAAGGAGGGGCTTTGGAGCATTTACCTCCCTGAAACGTCCGAAGCTGGCGCCTGGTGGGAATTTGTCATTTTCCTCGCATCTAATGAAAACCAAACATTACAACTTGAATCAAAACAGATAATTTCCATTGCAAAGCAGCGGAAAATGAAGCGTAACCTGATAAGTTTTTGGAAGTTGCGAAACTTTTTGGGGTGATTGCCCCCGCTCGCATCGCCCAATACCTCCTTTCTGGATTCGACAATGTCTGATAGGCAATGGAATTCTTTACAAAACTGATCAAACCATATGAGGACGACCATGCTGTATTCGTCGCATATCGACTTTCGGCTCCCCGTTCCTCCTAAACGAAAGATTCGATGCACAATGAATGGATGTGATATAGGCCCTTGATGCATTGTGGAAAGGATGTCGAGCATTCATTTGCAACAAGAATTTTGCGATTAATATCATGAATTGTTTGAAGTTCCGATTACTCAATGTGCATAGTTTACTTCATTCACGTTGATACGTTCACTTATTTATATCTTGCCGGCGTCGAACCTAAATAACATTGGGTTACACAATACATAAGCACTGATTGTTCGTAGAATCAATGCGATCATGGCCTGGTGCCTTACCACACAACGGATTATAAAACTATTATGATTGTTTGATCATATGTAATGTACAGGGTGTCTCAAAAGTTCGTTCACAGGTACCAGCCATGCTTTTTTGTCAATAATTATGAATCAACAAGAAATTAACAGTCGAAATTTTGCATGGGCATTGGTGACAACCTTCCTCAAGCAGTCTCATTGTTTTCAAGTGCATTCGACCCTTCATGAGCTCACAAAAAGGGTTCACCTCTGACCTTGGGTTAGGCACGAAAATGTAGGTTGCAAAGTCGGGTATGTTGTGAAACTCTCTGTTTCAGGAGTAATGGGAATGGTTAAGTCGGAAATGACACATGGCTAAGTGTCGGCGAGGATGAGCGCAACATGATGATCATCTCATAAAAACGGTGGCTAAAATTTTTGAAGGACGAAACCATGCGAGACTAACGGCGTTTTGAACGACCCTCGCACGACAGCAGACTCGTGTTCCGGAAAGCAGCTGAAAATGCGGTCATAACTATTGAAAACTGGCAAGAAGGTCACAGACAGAGGTTACCCATTTTCAAAAAGTGCAGGTCATCGTAAAATAAAGACAAATTATAATTTAAAATTGTTTATAATATCTATAACGCTAATTTTGGGTGACAATAACACAAAAATCGTCAATGCCAAGGACACCTGACCCTCCAAAAGTGTCAGTTATTGTAAAATTTTATCTAACGAAGTTTCAAGATGCAGATCTGCAGCGAATAATTTTCTTTTAAACACAAAATCCCGATAAAACCACACGGTGGACAGGTTTGGGCCGTTTACAAAGCAGAACATCTCCCGAGGAAAACACTCCGCAACCGAGCGAAGGTCTTGGCATGGGTAATGACGAGCACTTGGAATTTGCAAAATTTGCACAATGTGTCTGAGAAACAGACGTCCGACACATTCTGCTACCATATGATGCGAAAAATTTACTCCTGGCACTTCCCGTTTGTTCAGGACTGGGGTCGTTTTGAAAAGGAAAATGGCGCTTGGGATGTCGGCGCCAGTCATTCATGAAGGAGTTAGAGCCAGAGAATGCCTACAAAATACTCAAGAATGGTGCCGATGCAAGCTGTCGGCTTTCAGGGAAAATCAGATGTTGCCGGGGAGCTAGTCAAAACTAAATCCGACGCAGAAAGTGCAGGGGATTCTCCTGCAAGAGCTTGAAAGCTGGTACCCTTTTATCAGCCTCCGGCAGCTGACGGAGCAACAAAAATCGGTATGGGCAAATATTTTTGGAGATACAGCAAAGGGGTTGGTTTCCAACCTTCTTAATCAGTTGTCAAAGCATGCATATTTGTCTAGTGTACACACAGACACCAAAACCTTATACTTTTGGCCGGTTCTTATATGCTTTATTGGCATGGGAAATGTGTGAACGAACTTTTGAGACACCCTGTAGCTCAAACGCTACATTGAAGAACAATTATCTCATTTACGACATTGCAAAATTTAAATCGTGGCTTATGAGCGTCCAGCCAAATTCGGTAAAAGGTCAGCACGCGTTTATTCACCTGTTAATTAACAGGTGAGACCGCAGGGTAGCCGACCGGCAGCGGTATCAAACTCACATGGATGGTGACCACCTGTAGTGTGCGGTTCCAGAGCTGCTGGCGCGCCTGTCTGAGCCGTACCTCCTCCACGTCGAACCCGTCGCTGGTCCAGGAGCGGCGCTGGAGTGAGCGACGGTCGCGGGCCGCCCCTGCCGAGGGAGGAGGGGTCAGCTCAGCGAAGGTCGGGCGAGTGTCCAGGAGCGGCGCTGAAGCGAGCGGCGGTCGCGGGCCGCTCCTGCCGGACACAGGACAGATTAGCAAAGATAAGGTGTCATTAGTTGAGAGGCGGTCGCTGTTCACCCCTGCCAAAGATTAATACAAATACCTATCTCCTGCCACGATTGAGACTGAGAGGATAATTTGTCAGGTCATCTATCTGTAGCAGGACAGATCCGCGGGGTGCTATCACGATTTCCTCATTCCCGGCCGTGAACGCCTGTCAAGTGTCAACCCGTTCAAACAAAACAAATCCCAATCGATCGGCCACCTGATTTGTTTGCGAAATGTAGGCATGCGTGTGTTCAAAGTCGGGTAGGTAGGGAAGCAATCATACAATCACTTTCCGCGACGTGCGGGGAGACAAAGAAATTTTGTTTGTTTGTTTTGTTGGGTTAGGCCCTTTCGGTCCAATTAGACCATTGCAAAGCCGGAAGGATGTTAGGAATTAGGGGGAGACATTGGTCTGGGCAGGCACCCTAGTGAGTCACCGGGGCTGAACCCAGCCCGAAGGATAGGCCGACCAGCCCCAAGGTACTCACTGCACCCGGCTACGGGGTGCGCTCCCTCGGGAGCAGCGGTGCCGCTCCAAGGGAGCGGCCCGCATGAGATAAAGTTGCCTGTCCAGCCCGGAGGAGAAGAATTTCAGTATCCTGAGGATAGAAGCATGGAACGGTGATGACAAAGAAATTACAGCGCACAGGTAGGCATAGCATACCTATCGTTCTATGGCTCTACCGTTCAGCGCATAAATCCGAGTATGTATACCTACTTACCTACAACCCCAGCCATATGGTGCCACGTCCTACATCTTATTTATTATTGACGGGATAGGTACGAGAGCTGAACCCCCTCGGCAATCTCAGTCACTGTACCGCGCCATGTCATCCGGCACAGCATAACTTCGGGCGCGGATTACAGTGCCATCTAGGAGCGCCAATCTCAGTTACAGTAAGGAGCCCTCCGGCACAGCATAATTTCAGGCGTCTATTACAGTGCCATCTAGGAGCGCAAATCTCAGTTACAGTAAGGAGCCCTCCGGCACAGCATAACTTCAGGCGTCTATTACAGTGCCATCTAGGAGCAGGAATCACATTTAAAGAAGGAAACCCTCCAGTACAGCATATTTTCAGGAGTTTGTTATAGTGCCCTGGACAAAAACCAAGAACAGAAATTGAACATAACAGAACAAGCACGAAAAATAAGTAGCCAAAATTGTTATCACTTAGTTCCTCTAACAAAAGGGTCGTTTGGAGGGCAATGCATATGCAACACAGACGAGAGAAAAATGACCGAAAGTCTGATAATGAACATCACGGGAAAATTCAGAGTCCCGTGCCCGAATCTAAGCCACGCCATGCATGTCATTACAAAGTAAGACAAGTTGAAAGACGGCAAAACACAATTTATGGCAACACTGGGTCCTTTGACATTTCTCAGTGAGAGCAACCAGCCCAGCGACGCCGTTCTCTCTGAAAACAGGGCTGTCACTGTAAACATAGAGACGATTCAGATGTGATTTACCACCCCACTGATCCCGATGACTCACCGGCCGGTCGGCAGCAGGTGATACAGATCAGCAGCAGCAGTAGCAGGCGCTGACCGGTCACAGGGTACCCCGGGCCGGGCAGGCGACCCGCCATGGCGAGCGCCCGATTGCCACTGACGCCCCGCCGCCGGACGGAGACCAGCCGACCCACCGGCCACCGCGTGCATTGGTAAACGCAGGCTCAGTAGCAGGAACACAGCGCCCACTGCATACTGAATGGGGTCATGACCTCGTCCAGCCACTGACGCAATGCATGAGTGGTCACTGATATAGAACAACATGCGCACAAGTATGCATTGCATAGTACCAATACGCACAGAGCAAAAGGTCAGCGAAACTGACAGAAATCATTGCCGCTTAAAGCTACCTCGAATTACCTACCCTCAATGGCTTCCAGGCTCGATACCCAGGCTCGATGAGCAGACACGTTATAAGACCGCATTGTGGGCAATCACAACCTTGTTTCTCGAACCCCGTAGGCTGTACCTGGGCTGGGCCTTGGCTCTGCGGCGGGCGCAGACACACCTCGGTGGCTCGCTAACACGGAGATTAGGCGCCATGTCCGGCCAGATCACTATAAGCGACAACGGCGTACAGCAGGAAACTTCCTCGCATGAAGATCATCTGGAGGAAGACGGGCCCAAAGAATACTACGATCCATAGACCACTATATACCTTTGCAGATGGCATATAGTGGTCTATGTCCGATCGCGTAGTCCTGTCACACTAGAAAGCTTCCTTTTGGGACGTCAAGAGACGGGTGTCCCAACTGAGTACTGATGCGAGGAAAAGTGGTGTTCTTTGCCGGTAAAACAATAGCACAGTGTGTGCAGAGGATGTCCGACCGACTGATCAATTATTGCAATGGCAAACAAGCGGCCACCGCCCGTCGGACGGATCATTATACCGTCCAGAGCCGGTACTGTCATTCAAGTCGAGTCCATCACAAGACACCGTCTGTCACATGGCAGTTGAAGGTCACCGAATGACACACAGGACCCTGTCACACCATCCACAGGATAAAGGTATTCAGAGCTATCATATCATCACGGTGCACGTTAAAAATATGAAAACAGTGCAAATGACAGTAATTTTGTTGTGCTTCTCGACATTAATAGCATGTACCGAGCACCGACCTTTGTTACTTGTAAACAGAACTGATTAAGAAAAAGTAACAACACACCTTATGTATGACCTCCTAGTTATTGCCTGACCTTGACCTTCAAACCTCCTAACACCGTTTCTACGTAGGCAAATAATTGTCTGGCATTGTCTCAGACACAACAAAGCTCTAAGGGCCATACTGATAAAAATGCCCTTTCATGGCCACCGACTAACCGTCTTTTCACACCACCTAGACATGCCGTCATTTCTGAAGACCCAGACCGACAATAAAATGTTGTTGTTTTCCCCTGAATCCCTTGCGGTTAGCTCTAATGGCAGTGGCAACCCCTCAGCCCCCGTCCAGCTAGCGGCGGCTAGCGGCGGCTAACGTCACTCCGTAAGAGGATAGTTACAGCACCAAAGCGGCATGTTTGTCAACTATGCTTCTGCATCCTTGGCGCTCGGTGGCGACCAACCCACTCATCACAATCCGTGAGTACAAACCATCGTCTATATTGTCACCTGAATCACACCCGTACACACCAATAACAAACACATGAGCCCAAGGAAGTCAGTTCCTTTACAATAACAGCGACAGTGTGGGGTCGGTGTATCACTTCATGGCGCTGTAGCGCAGGCAGGTCTGCAGCAGAAACAGAGTCTGGTCGAGCTGCGTCTCGGCCAGAGAGAGCCGGTCGGTGACAGCGGCGGCGCGCGCCAGCTCGGCCCGCTCCGGCTCTGTCAGCGCCTCCTCCACCTGGCGGGGAGGGCGCAGAGGTCACATGGGGCCGCAGGGGTCACAACGGGTCAATGATCACGTGAACGTGAGTTACATGGGGTTACAGTGTTACGTGGCAATACGTATGGTCACAGGGTCGTGTGCGTCACAGCTGGTCACAGACGGCGCCTTACCTATATGGCGGAGACGGCGAACGGGTCATAATAGGGGATCAAAAGCAGTGCGGCGGGCTATCAGGGAGGCGCAGCACGTCACACAACCACATGTCTGTTGAGATCACGATACCGAGTAGTGCGGTGTTATATCAGCTAAAATCCGGGCCGTCGCAAACGCCATCATCAGACTTCTTGTTGCCTGGACCGGTCACCGGACCAAGTTTTTGTGATATGTGCACGTTCAAATACATCAAATTTGTTTGTGGAAAACAATGAGTTTACGCATTCTCTGGCATTGAAAGTTGAAAATGGCATGACACACAGCGTCACTTATCTCAAAAGAATAGGCCAGACTCCGGCGCACACCTAACATCTTCGTCAGTCAGGACCGAAAATGTAGCAGAGCGTGGTTTCGATCCACGGACCTCTGGGTTATGGGCCCAGCACGCTTCCACTGCGCCACTCTGCTTTCTGGCTTTCGGGGTCCCGGAGCGTGACATGATGCTTCTGCAGTATTACAGCCACACTAACTAGACATAAAATTGTACGAGCTGTGCTACCCAGCAAACCACAAAATCATAAATCATGCATCCTTTGCCAACGCCGCAATAATTTCTAAAGTCAGCGATGCACCTGCGGACGGCACCACTATCCAGTATGTCGGAGTCGCTGTTCGTTCGTCCCAGGTCGACCGACAGGCGACAGCCGCCTGTGGTTTATGCAGAGACCGGTCGGAGTCAACAGGATAGTCAGGGGACAGTAGGACAGACTGGGTTAGTAGGAGCACTAATAGCGCTGTAAATGATGCCACCGGCTTGTCGGCAGTGACTGGCACCTAATCTATGAATGGTCGACAGTCGTAACTCGTAAAGTCAGTAAAGGAACGGAATGCTGGTCAACGATCACTGTGAAAGAACGGAGAGCGACCGGTGTCATCGAGAGGGGAGAGAGGGCGACAGAGGGGGAAAGAGGAGAGAGAGAGAGAGAGAGAGAGAGAGAGAGAGAGAGAGAGAGAGAGAGAGAGAGAGAGACGTGTCCGGGCTAAAGTAGCTCACCGGCGGGTGTGAGTGGAGAGGGCAGCAGGCAGGAGGAGCGCGATACGGTCCTCTTTGTCCGCTCCAGGTTGCCGCAGATTCACAGCTGCACAACATGCACTCTAGCCAACGAATGGTGAGCAGCCATTACACCCCGTCCCCTCCCCTCCCCTAGCTAACGACAGGGTCCCCGACCTCTGCAAGGAGCTGTGTAAAATATGGTAACAGTTTTGTTGTTATCGTGCACGCGAAGCGACTAGCGCCAATCAATACCGCCAATCCAGCCGCTTAATTATCGAGTGTTCAGAGCGGCGTAACTCATTCGAATGTCGTATCCAATGTTGGCAATGAAAGTAGCACGACTTCCAATCAAGTAATTCGAAGTGAATGCCGCAGTTAGTGGGAGCAATGAGGGCCAAATCGGACCGGCAGCTGTCGGTCAGGCCAATTTGGCACGTCGGTCTCGGCAGCCGACGGTCGTCTGTAATTCAATCAGTGACCGCCCGGGGCGCCCGATCGGAGCGGACTGGTCAGACGGACATCAGTAGACCACCGGAGGTCGGTAGAAGTTGCGGGTAGATTGAAACAAAGGCTGACCGAGCGCGGAGTGGGTTTGTGAGCGTCGTATTACGGTTCGTAACAGCTTCTGTCGCCCTGATTGAATTGATGAACTCGGGAGAAACGGCCAGCCCGATAATCAAAGGCCCGATCAGGAATGGTATTTCTGGGAGGTATTGGCAAAAAAGAGTACAATACAATATGACAAAGAAAGAAAAATAAATCATTTGAGCAAATAAACAAAAATAAAAACCCGAAAGTGAGAAAGGTAACTTGTTATAAAATGCACTCAGTAGGAAAATAGCTTCCAGTATTACGATTAAATCAGAGATCAACGTTGTCGCCGTCTCAAGTCTCCTATCTGATCGTCGTCGGAGGGCGGTGACCTGGGTAGAGAATACACCAAGGTCGCCTATTGGGGCTACCCATCACACAGGTATCACGCCGTCTCACCTCTGCCATCTGGTCGTCGTCGAAAGGTTGTGACTTGTGACCTAAGTAGGGGATTTCCCAAGGTCCCCTATTTGGACCACTACTTTCACACGCCGTCTCACCTCTGCGATCTGGTCGTCGTCGACGCCCTGCTGCCTCATCGTAGCCAGGAGGGTCTCCACCCGCTGCTGTTTGTCGTACAGCCGCTGGTGCCGGCTGGCCTCCGCCGCGCGGGACGTCAACATGTTGAGCAGCGCCCGGTAACACGTCTCGATCAGCATCCGCGTCAGCTGACGGCGCGGAGAGAGGAGGGTGGGTCAGCTGGGCACGGACAGGTCAACCGCAGCAGGAGGCTGAGGCGGGTCAGCTGGTGACACAATCAGGGTATGATAGGTCAACTGGGGCAGAGACAGGTCAGATAGCCAAGCGGTCAGAGACGGGTACGCCAAAAGTGGGGCACAGGTAAGGCGGGGATGTTAGCTAGAATATGAACAGGACACTCAAAGGGTAGAGCAGCGGCCAACGCAGCAGAGGTAGGTCAGGTCAGCTGACGCAAGGGCAGGTCAAATGAACCACGGACAAGACGTCGGGGCAGATCGACTACCACATGGAGAGAGCAGACCAATTGGGACACAGACCGGTGATTTAATTATTGTTCGGGACTCGGGAAAGCACTTAAAATTGTAAAATCATTATCATAAGCTGATGCGATATAACCACCGAAACAGGGTAACGCACCACAACATGACTTTCCGTGTCCCCATAAGTTCCGTTCCACATCATTTCGGACCGGATCTGACCGGACCGCCAGCGTGCCCGTCCGGTCAGCGGCGTGCCAGCTAACGACACATGGAGCGGCCAACCCAGCCGGCGGCGGACGGACGGTCCTACCGAACGGCGCGACACCGGAGTGTGTGACTGAAACCAATCACATTCCGAGGTGAAGCGCCGCATCCTCCGCTGCCTGGCGACCACCCCGACATTTGCACACGCGTCCGGCGACGGCGACAGGGCTGGGCAGGACCCGTACAGAACGCCCTCCTGGCATACCCAGCGGCCCAAACTGCGGCTTTACAGGCGTCAGAAT